CTCCTGGTATCATCGTCAACGGCACTTAGAGTCACTGGAATTAAAGGAATAAATTAACATTCATGAAACAACGTGTAAAGGTCTGATATAGCAGTACATGTTCATTACAGCAATTCTTGTCAGTATCCTTTGCGTTATAATTAAAAAATGGCAATTTTAATCTTAAAAGCTTTAAAGTTATACAAATATATAATACCCTCATGGAAAGCTTATGGTATCAGAAACAAAAAGGTGCCCAAAAGGCACTGAGGGAAAGCTAAGCAAAGCTAAGGCTTCACGTCAGTTAGATGTCCACGTGGTCATTATGCCTAGAGTGCACCATTTCGGGGAAAATATCGTCAATGAAAAACCAAGAAATGCTACAATACATTTTTTATCATCTGTACGGAACTTACGAGATACTGCTTCCGGTCCAGTGCCATTTTCGGTCTACATGTGGCAGTAGCAGTAATATGGCATGGAATATCCTTCTTCTCCATCTTCTACTGACCTTGGTCCTATCTGAGCACCTCTCACCAAACGCTCACCTGATTTACNTCGCTTGATTTACATTGTACGTTTTGGAGCGGAATGTCACAACCAAAAGCAAACATAACCGTACTAAATGTCGTCCCTGCAAATTAACAAGCAGACAAACGTCGGCATAGGAGGCAATCTTGGCATGGGTGTGGGGGACTGTATGGGTCGAACACGAAACGTTTATCTGAGTAGGACACTCCTGGGATCTTCGTCAACGGCACTTAGAGTCACTGGAATTAAAGGAATAAATTAACATTCATGAAACAACGTGTAAAGGTCTGATATAGTAGTACATGTTCATTACAGCAATTCTTGTCAGTATCCTTTGCGTTATAATTAAAAAAATGGCAATTTTAATCTTAAAAGCTTTAAAGTTATACAAATATATAATACCCTCATGGAAAGCTTATGGTATCAGAAACAAAAAGGTGCCCAAAAGGCACTGAGGGAAAGCTAAGCAAAGCTAAGGCTTCACGTCAGTTAGATGTCCACGTGGTCATTATGCCTAGAGTGCACCATTTCGGGGAAAATATCGTCAATGAAAAACCAAGAAATGCTACAATACATTTTTTTATCATCTGTACGGAACTTACGAGATACTGCTGCCGGTCCAGTGCCATTTTCGGTCTACATGTGGCAGTAGCAGTAATATGGCATGGAATATCCTTCTTCTCCATCTTCTACTGACCTTGGTCCTATCTGAGCACCTCTCACCAAACGCTCACCTGATTTACGTAATAATGAAGAGGTCACCTACTTTCCGTGCGGACGCTTCGGTTTGAATTATCGTCTGGTTTTTTGAGAAGGTACAATAAGTCTTTATCTCGAAAACAGGATAAAGAGTTAATAAAGTCATAACGACACACACACACACACACACACACACACAACATAAATAAATAAATAAATAAATAAAAACGCATTTTAAAGACAGCATACTTGATATTGCGTGACTGGGGATATAAATTAGCTTTCATTAGTCGAATGAACGTACTTGGGCGGGATTGTGATAGAACAGACAGAATTTTCATTCAAACTTACGGTGCAGCGTAGCCATAAGGTTATTGATATTTCTTTCTTTTTTCCTTTCTTTCTTTCTACTTCTTGAAACATAGATGAACTCTTTTAAAGGAAAACGTTTAAGTTTCACAAGTTTATTGAATTGTCTTGAATGTTACATTCATAGGTAATTTTCCATAAATAAACTCTACAGAATTAATATTTTAACTGTCTGTGCACAAATAAGACACATATTAAAAATAATAATTTAAAGAATTGGTCTATATTTGTATTATATCAAGTTATTTTTGTTCTGAAAATTCTGAAAGTAAATGTTCGGCGCGTTGTTTCATAAAACCTCATTTAGAAACCATTAAAGGGATAATAACTCTTCGTTTTGGCCAAAAAATAAATTTTCCTGGAGTAAACAACAATTTTCCCATATTAACCAATGATTAATGAATCCATTTTTACATTCAAAGTTAGTCCCTGGTTTTTTTTCTAAAAAGTTTGGTTTTTTGTTAAAATATCTTAAGTGATTATAACAGAGCATAGCCATCAATGGAGGTCACGTGATCTGAAGACAAGCTCAGATATCAGAATAATATCTATAACTGCTGTTTTTGTCGTAAAACAGAATATATTATATTTCTATGAGTTATTCACAATGTTTTTATGGTGAAATATAGATCTCATACGAAGAGTTATTATCCCTTTAATTGCATATAACTAACTGAGGGAAATTCATAAAGAAAATCTACAACATGTTGTGTAAAAAATAGTTAAAGTTATTATTAATTACTTAGGATATTTTATCGTACACAACCATCTGCGAAACTAGACACTAACTTCAGCGCCCCGGGTTGCAATGCAGTCCATTGCAGTGGCACTCAGTCCACTCAGTAAGTCGAGCTGAATAAATTCAGAGAAGGAAAAACACAAGTATACCTATTACCCGAAAAGATACTAAAAGGACGAAGAAGTCCTGTTGGCGGTGATATTTAAAATTCTGGATCAGTATACATGTATGATTGTTTTTTAACTGAATTTCAATTTATTTCAACTTTCATTTGAGCTTCTGTACATTTTGAAAAAGTAGCAATTGGAGTTAAATAAAGATAAAATGGTTGTTTGGGGTTTATCTATTAGAGGTAAAAAGGGAGGGGTAGGAAAAATAGTCATAACAAAACAAAAAAGAAAAAAAAGGTTGCCTGGCCGACTTGCGACCCAGGGTCCATTGTCTAGAATTGGTGGACCTTACCACACGGCCAATAAAACTACTGAACGATGAGAGAGTTCATTAACGTTCCTATGACTCCCTTAAAAGGTGCAAGTTAAAAGATATAGTTAATATTCAGATTTTTTGCTTCAGAGATTTTAGTCCATCCGTCCGTCCTATTCCATGACGTGCGGGTGGTTTGACATTACCTCGAGGTCACGTATGAAAAATCAGATTCTCCATGTGACGGGTGATGCTCCTTGTGATATAAAGGATATCTATTTTACAATCCATTTTTGACTTTTGATTAAGGTTAGAAAACATACTTTATGTGAAGTGTTTGTGACTGTTGCTCGATTCAGGGCATAAATAACATACATATGGTTTTATAAGGACAAGTACAGCAAGACTGAGTACAGAAAATATTTTTTAAAAATATTTTATTGCAAATTACAATATCAATACAGTGCAGTGAGAGTTGCTACACATTCACAAAGTCATAAGCCTCACGGTGAGTGAGAACACTATCATTTATAAGTAAAGTAGCATCTTAAGTCATGCCTTTAGTACTCTGGAGAAATGTCAAGAGAAGTGCCATTTAAGATCAGACATTTTTTAAAAAATTCTTTTACCTTTGTGAGCTTTCATCAGAGCGGTCACAAGCCGATCCACCGTCCAGCTCAATTAAAAGCAATCCAGTATTGAGACAATCATGAATACTGTACCCTGGGAATCATCAGTTAGTTTAATTCAAATCTCTTTCAACTTCTCCATACCCTTTTCCAGGGAGGCAGATATTACAGGCACATTTTCCACCAGCCAGTTAGAAGATTGACCATATTTAGCCAGACACATTTTCTGTGAATACCTAGTGAAAAATCAATCAGTATACCTGGTAGAGGGTATACCTTCTCCTGGGCTCTCAGGTGTCTGCTTGCATCCAGTCGTGATTGTTATTGACTAATAGCCAATGATTTGATTAGTACGTAAACCATCATAAACTGACGTTTCCCAGTACACAGTGGAACAACATCATGTCTAGCATACAGAGATAAAACTAAATTAATGTAATTTTTTTCAAAGATAAATTAAGATACAACGACTCCTCTATCCACAACGATGCATTATGTTTCTTTTCAGCAATCATTCAACAGAATTTCTAATCTGTTCTGGTCCATAGACTTCTACCTAAATACCAACCAGTTTCATGCTTCAAGAAAGTCAATACCTGACTAGAGACCGCGTCAAATCTTTTAAGTGCAACTTCTACTAGTTCTCAACAGAGTTTTCAGACATTTCTAATTCAAACTTCAGCATCTTCATTCAAAGATATGTTTACTCACATCAACACTGTATATTTACTGAATAAAAAAGCTGAAGTCTCACATCATTTCTTCAATTAAGAAAATCTCGATTAAATATGGTATTATCACAAGTGCATCACAGAAATATAATTTTTACTACATGTAGATTCATCACTAATGAATAATAAAATCATCGATGCAAAATCTTTATCACAGTCCAGAAAATGTACATTTTTGTAAAAGAAAAAAGCACTACAACAATGTGATGTACTATAAAAATATATCTTTATAATGAGCTGGCGGAGTGTACTAGAAGATAGAGGGAGTGGCTCTCTTTCTCCATTTGACCATTTTTCAAGTATCTATTTCTTAAGAGCGGCAGACATAAAAATGTTGGGATAAATCATTCCACATCCCCGACCTTTTTTCAGTCTTGGCCTTATTCCCACTTGAAAATAATAGTCAAGTTTCATTAAGAGCTTACTCTACCACCTCTTCATTTCACTCAACGTCAGAAAACTCATTTTAAAATTAGTTTTCTTGAATATGCATTTGACACTTTTTTTTCTTTTTTCAATGTTTTACAAACTAAAGTAAGAATTATATCTAAATGGGATTAAAATTATTATTTCTGATGATAATTTATCATATTAAATAAGGAAAAAAAGACTTATCTATACACATTACACAAAAACTGAAGCTAAACTGGACGGAATAGAGATTATGCAAAAAAAGAAAAAACATCACAGTTTATGGCTGCTCAATATCATATATTCAATAGCATTTAGAATCAATCTTTATTAAAAAAGGAATGCATTTGTTTTAACCACAAAATTATGATATCCTCATCATCTTCCGTATATAAAAAATATTCATAAACTTCAAAACCTGAATATTGTATCTCATAATTTTCTGTAAATAATATCTGAAATCCATGTATTTACACCATTTACTCTGATCTATGTCTCAGCCCCGAGCTCACCACTGGAATTGGAAACTTTCTGTGGTCTGAAAAATAATAACAAGGCAGCAAGATGATGGCTATATGTACAGACACATCTGTGTCTGTACATAAAAATTATAAATCAATAAAAGCTAGCAGTTTCTGAGAAACAGAGAAAACTATTATAATGTGAACTAAAAAACTTTCTTAAAACTCTAAAGTAAAGTACTAGGTATCGAGAGCTAATATACTAATTAAAGCACATTCAAATACAAAATGTTGAACCTCAAATAGCTAATGTTCAGGAAATGACAGAGAAAAGGGGCTTAAACACTCATAACACAAAATACTAATTATCAGACCATCACAGACCATCAATCTTTTGTGGGACATTAAGCTTATAAGAATAACGTATCCCAGATGTAATTTGATATTTTAAATTTTTCTGTACCATGTTGTATACAGTACTAAAAAAATTACACTCTACTATATACTTACTTTTTCAGAATGACCAGGACCACTATGATGACCACTAAGACCACCAGTATGGCCCCTACCACTGACACTGCTATAACCCAGGCCTCAGTGCCTGTATTGACTGGTGTAGTACCCTCTGTTGTGATGGAGGAATTCATGGTAGTAGTCTTAAAGGGAAAAGGAAATGGAATGCTATATATTAAATAATTTATTAGAAGGCATGAATATTCATGTTTATATCTTTACCCAGAAATGACCACAAGCACTGCAAAAGTAAAAGTTTTTAAAAAAAATGTACGTATAGGATAACAGCAGTTTTCACTTCGAATGAAATAGTTAACAGAAGATCATATCTATTTTCAATGTTTACCCAGGCCCATCGGAGCAGGTTTAATCTAAAATAAATTTACCATTTGGATAAATGCACTTATCAAAATTAATATTATACATACAAGAGGAAAACCCCAATCAATTATGTAAAGAAAAATTGATAGAGTCCTATTTGGAGCTCAGCTTACAATCTTGCCAAATAAAACCACCCAGTAATTTTACATTAAAAAAGGTGAAAAACAGGTAAAATACATACCAAATTATTAGTAGCCATTGTAACAACAACAGTAACAACAGATGGGTATGCAGCAGCAGCAGTCTGGACTTGTGAAACAGAAACAGTAGCAGTAGGATAATATGCAACAATGGCAGTGACAATGCTGCTCTGTGTGGAAGATTGCTGCACCAAGGCAGTGAGAGAGGCTTGGGGAAAGGCGAATTCCACACCACTATTTACCGTCACTGGAATGGCAAAGTACAAATATCTATTTAAATGCACTTTGAAAAAATTAGTATATAAATTTCTGTAATATTCATTTGAAAGATTTGTCTTCAATAACAGATGATACTATTACAATTTATCTTTTTTTCACCCATGTTGAAATACATCCTTGATGAAAGTCAAAACTATTAAAAAATAAATAAAATCATTGTCAATATTTTCAAATAACAGAGCATCTGTTAAATATTACAAATACATGTGCTTATTTAAATGATGAAAAGTAAAACTGGAAAGCAACAGATTCCATAAATAAAACCCATTAAAAAATGCATATAAATATAATATTAATTTACCAATTCAGAGATTAAATAGGACAAATTCCACAAGCTAATAATCATACCTCCTCTCTTCTTCCTGCCAGACTGAGAACCACTTCCCAGAGCACAGACGTCATTGTCCAGTGGAGCCTTGGCCACAATCAGGAGGTCTACCTTGGTGTTATCAGCAGAGTTCACCCTGGGGAACCCAGCTCCCATCTGGACATAGCTTGTGTTAGTGTAGGTCAGGTTGGTTGCTGAGGTGTTCTGCCTGCAATTCATATATTATTTTAGGTATATGATTTTAATAAAAATCTTATCCTTGAAATGTTTGTACGTAGCAAATGTTTATAAATTTTGCGACTTCTCATTTTAAATTAGCAGCTGCTAATAAATTTTGCAACTTCTCATTTAAATAAGGCTAGTATTATTCCAACTGATTTTTCTGTATTATTTATATTTTACTGAAGTTGAACCAAACAAAATCAATCATTTGATACCAAAATGTTAAAACAAACTAAATGAACAGTACCTAGTTCCACTATTAGGACAGCATGTGGCAAAATTCCCTTCAATAATACAGTATGAATTCAATGCTTCAACGACCTTCAAGAGAATAGAGTCCTGGACAGATGTTGTGAGCTAAAAGAGAAATAAAACAAGTTATATATACAAGTTATATATTTTCCCCATATCATGCACATATTATAAGCATGCATGTTGGTCCCTGTACTACTTTTCACCATTGCATGGTAGTGAATAAATAAATAAATAAATAAATAAATAAATTACTCATTTGATCAATAGCTAATTTAATAATTTACCTGAGCCACTGTCACTCCAGAGATTGTCACAACAACACCATAATCCTCCTCAGCTTGACTCACTGAAAGATTCAACAACTTTTGCATTCAATTTCAACTTCCAATTACAAATACACTGTAACATATAATGTTGACAAAGAGATCCATTAACTTGTGAATCTTATTAAACATGCATGTAACTCCCGTGTATTTTCATTCATGTAGCTAGGCAGCAATTATAAACAATGTTTTTTTTTATTTCACTCTGGTGGCATCCAGACACAAAAACAGAAGTTGCAGCGCTAAAAATTTTACTCTATACAATTACTAAATACAATTACATTTGTCATATAGCATAGTTTCATGTTCTCTACATGAGAGACTAAATTGCATGCTAAACTGGGTATTGTAGAAAAAAATTTAAATCAACAAATAATTGTAGGTCAAAGTAAAGAATAGGGGGATTATATCTAAAAGCAACAACAATCATGCAATTTAACAATTAGCACACTTACATGGACAAGAGTCCGTATTACACTGTTGAGTCTCACTGGTCAGTCCGCTGCATGGAAGGCCATTGCCAGCTTGAGTTGGGTTGGTGCAGGAACGAGTGCGGGACTGGGTTCCACCACCACATGTGACACTGCAGCTTCCCCAGCTAGTCCAGCTAGTAAGACCACCGTTACGATCTGTCACAGAGAGAGCAGTTTAGAATGTTGGCATGACTGGGACAACGATTATACCGTAAGATACAATTTCCAAGACAGTCACTAAAACTTTTTGAAAATGTTACTTAAATACACAAGCAATGACAAGTATCCTTAAATATGTAACATGTAGTTTTAAACTTGCTGACAAATAGAAGATTTTGAGGATTGGCATCCAAGTTAAAATTTTCAAACACACATGACTTAAAAAGACAGGTTCATTACTAAAATGATATATGCTATTTATGCAGTATCATTTTATCAATGACCAACAGCAAAATCTGATTAAGACTACTAATTGCACATTAATATTTTAAAAATATTTTTTTAAAATAATCAAAAAATCTCAACATAGGCATATAGTTTATGTAACCAGCATACCAGCACAAGTCAACTTGTCAGCTCCAAGTATGTAGTCATTGGTACAGTTGCAGGAGAAGCCACCATTGGTATTTAAGCATGTACTGCTGTTCCCAACACATGGGTAGCTGTCAGTGCACTCATCCACATCTGAATAGAGATTACATAAAGCTTTACATTATTTGAATCCTTTATCCCATTTAAAATGGAAAGGTCTTTAACTTCAACTGGATCACTTATAAACAGGGACATTACATATACACACCTGATGAATATGCAACTTAAATGCTACATGTACAACACATGTGCACAATAATAATATAGTGATGCATGTCATAATTTGAAATTTAAAAAAAGTACATTTTTCCTCTTTGCTATAATGATTTATGAACTTATGATTTATGAATGAACTATAATGATTTATGAACTTATGATTTATGAATAACGCCAGCAAACAGTCAGTATTTTCTTCTTACCAACACAAGTCTGGTTATCAGAGGAGAGTTTGTAGAAGTTATTTCTGCAGGAGCAGATGCTCTGTCCCAGTACCATGGCACACAAGTCACTGCAGGTGTTGTTAGCTGGGCACTCTGCAAGTACTGAAATAGAAAAAATGTGAATTAAGGCTTTTATTTCTAAAACAGCAAGCACTGTACTAAGTCAGCCCACATTTTGCTTAAATACTGCTGCCAAGGAAGGTAGTAACTTTAACTTGAAGACAGGCTCTTACTGTATGTCTAATCCACTATGGAAATAAAATCTTCAAGCAAATAAAAAATTAGAGTTTTCTATTAAAACGTTTTACTCTTAACATGAGAATACCATTTAATACAATGTTCTTAACATGACTGATAAGAGACTGAGGTTACATTGACATATGTCATATCAAATGAAGACACAAAAGAACAACAACAAGTACAATTTTCTGATCAGCAGTAACAGCAAATTCAAATCACTTGGTTCACAGTAAAATCATAAAATCTAACAATCCCATTTGAGCCTGGCATAAATAAAAATGGCCTTCCAGGCCAAATATCAGTCAACATACAGTTTGTACATTGTGTTCATCTTTAATGAATCTCATACAGGTTTCATTGGAGGAGATATAAAGAACACTTACAAGTGCAGTTTCTCTGTTCAGCAGCCAGAGCAAATCCTGGTTGACAACCACATGTGAAGCCACCAGGCACATTGTTACATAGCTGGGCACAGTCATGTTGTGGATTGCTGGGGTCACACTCGTTCAAGTCTGAAATAAAAATCACATAGATTGTTTATTGGAATAAAAAGTGAGTGAAGAAATATATATCTTATTACATTAACTTGTGCAATTTAAAAAAGTTTACATTTTTTCCTATAATCAAATATCAAGAAGAAACAGCATTCTGTAAAAGAAAGCAAAAGATATTGTAAAAAGATACTGTAACACTGTGAATTATGTTCTAATAAAGATAGAGAAAAAATCAAAATATGCCTACATATGTATGACAATATAAATATCTATTGCAAATGCCTATCACTTACCATCACAAGTCTTTCCATTAGCATTCAGCCTGTACCCAGATATACAAGTACAGTTAGATCCTCCAGCGTAGTTCACACATGTACCGCGACCACGAGCAACATCGCAACCTCCTGCATCAGCGGCTGCACATTCATCTACGTCGGAGCAGGTGATGCCGTCCCCAGAGTAGCCAGAGATACAGGCACATGTGTAGGCACCAGCAGTGTTGGTACATTGACCTAGGGTTGGGTGACAGTTGTGGGTTCCTGAGGTACATTCGTCAATATCTGGAAGGAGACAGTGCATGTCAGAAATGAGAGAGAATGCATTTTAAGGAATACCAAGGCGAGTGAGTGGTAGTATTACCAGGTTATGACAGTGAAGTTTTTATACAGCTGAAACTAGCCCAAAACTTCTCTGATTCAACCAGTGAAATATGGAATTGCATGGTTTGTACCAAAAATTACAATAGAAAATATTCTATTAATTGTGTAACTTTTGCATCAACATATGCTGGTGATAATGTAAATAAAATTGAAAATCTGAGACACAGAGCACACAAACAAACTTTAAAATTATTTCTTAATTTGTCACATCATATTTTCCTCCTACCTTGACACAGTCCCCCAGTGCTGTTATATCCTGCCTGACAGTCACAGCGATATCCTGGTGACAGGTTGACACAAGTGGAAAAGGCAGGACATGTGGCGCCCCCTCCTGATGAACACTCATCAATGTCTGGAAGGGGAAATGTTTAAAATGAGTTATTTCAATGATAAATAGATTTAGAACTATTCAAAACAAATTCAAATGTAACTAATTGATATTTTGTTTTTTAAAGTATAATTCCGAGGTGTAGTGAAATTTACATTAAGCCAAAAAATTATTATCAGAATAATGTTCATATGTTCATAGATGTACACCAAATAGATATAGAACATCATCCAACATCAGTAAACCATATATTATCTCAAAGTTTTACAAGTACATGATTTTATACAATAACGTAGCCCAAGTAATCAGTTAGCTGCTTCTTACCTATACATTTTCTGGCCTCTACCTGTTGGTACAGAGAAGTATTGGAGCAGACGCAGTGGTAGGTTCCAGGATCATTGACACATATCACATTGTTGGCTGCTGAACACCCGTGGGTAGTGTTGGAGGCACATTCATTGATATCTGAAAGAATGGTGCAATTTTCACTATAAAAAATTGTTTTAAAACTCTGGTAATAAAAATGTACATTTTACCTCCATAACATTACATTATGAATCATAATTAGATAAAAATGAACAAAATTTAGTATTACACATACATGTGAACACTGTCTATTGTAATAAAAGGTATAAGATAAAGGTTGAAATAAAAGGTATCTTTATACATGTAGCTTGACATCCTTGAAAGATCAACTACAATTTATGCCTGGTTTTTATGGATCCATCCAATCCAGAAACAATCACCATCCAGCCAGTAGTTCTATCTACAGCATTATTATATCATTTGTTCTAATACAATGTACTCCACATTATCTCACCTGTACAATTCTTGCCAGAGGCGTCCAGTTCATATCCCTTGGGACACTGGCAGGTGTCATTACCACTGAGTCTGGCACAGGTGTGAGAGCAGTTGTGATTTGCTGCACACTGGTTAGCAGCTGGAACAGGAAAATAAAGTAAAACTTTTTTATTTCTTGACTGATTCTCATAATGGAGAGACTGTTGAACTTCACCCCAGATCTCAATGGTTTTGGATAGGGCATACCCTTTGTGATAAGATAAAAATTGCTGAAATTTCCAGGAATATCAGGGGCGGTTCTGGAGATATTTTCTGACAGTCTTCCAAATGATCTTTGTTGATCCATCCTTCATTTTTGGCCTTCTTCAGAATACCCAGAAAACGGCCTCTGTCAGCCCCTGAATATTCATTATTTTATTACAAGAAAGTCAAACATGGACTGCATGCTTTAAAAATCCATGGTCAACTCACCAGTACAAGTCTTTCCATCAGAGGACAGGATAAAGTCCACTGGACAGGTGCAGGTGTAGCTGCCCACTGTGTTGGAACAATACTGACTGCTGTAACAGCCATTGTCTGCTTCACGACTGCATTCGTCATAATCTGAAAAAGTAAAAAGAAAATGTCTGCCTTTAGTTTCCATAATCAGGTGCTGTAAATTGAGTTCAGAATTACATGTAATATAGTGCAGAAAGGTTTCTGGAATGTTACCAATTTAACGTATGGCAAAGTGATTTATAAAAATCTTATTTGACATTGAGATATCCTCCTTCAGCATCTCCTTACAATACCTTTTAAAAAAGGTTTCAAAATTATAATCAAAATCACTTCTCACCATTGCATGTTAATCCATTGGCATCCAGCAAATAGCCGTTGCCACAGAAACAGCTGTAGGAACCAATGCTGTTGGAACATCCCTGGGCACAGCCACCACGGGTTGCTAGACCACACTCATTTAGATCTGAAGAGAAAAACATGAATCATTACTTAGAAATATGGAGAAAACAGCAAACCTGATTGTTTTTATACTGGTTGTGCTTATAGTAAGCTATGCAAAAAGGCTCATTTACCAAATGTGATATCATAGATATCTTTAATCATATTGTAATTTCTCTCATACATCATCATTCTTTTTTTGTGTGTGTGTGTGTGTGTGTGTGTGTGTGTGTGTGTGTGTGTGTGTGCGTGTGTGTGTGTGTTTAAGTCTCAGGATTGTAATTGTATCAAAACTTAATACAACTTAATATAAATTTACTTTTTGAAAATTGTAATAATGTTATTTTCTCTGAACAAAAAATAAACACTAGGGAAATAATGATTCATACATTAAGTGTAAAATTTTAAAGAGTTTTTTAAAGGACGAAATGAAATAAAATCTTTTCCTACCTGCACAGATGACACCATCCCCAGTAAAGCCTGTCTTGCAAGTGCAGGTGTAACTACCCAAGGTGTTGGTACAGTTGGCATAGTCAGCATTACAGTCATTAGTGGTGGGAGAAGCACACTCATTCTTATCTGAAATTAATAATAATCCCATTTTAGCTTTTATATCCAAACAGTATCCTATACAGGTGCAATCACACAAATTTACTATCAGCAAAATGATGTATATCAATAATTGAAGAAGTAAAAGTATCTATGATTATATTCATAAGTAAATCTGACTATTAATTTAAAATCAATTTTCTCACCTTCACAACCATTTCCAGTGGCATTGAGATTGTAGCCAGCATTGCAGCCACAGGAGAAACTGCCCACTGAATTACTGCAGTAGCCACGGGTCAGGTCACAGTTGTGCATGGGGCTCCCACTGGACAGCTCAGTACACTCATCAATATCTGAAATGAATCGGAAATGTAATATTTAATGAAAATATCAGGTCATTTATTTTTACCCTTTCTGTAGTGTACATTGACCATCTGTGATAGCAAAAGCTGGATATACCATTTGGTTCTTTATTAATAGTTGACCCAGAATAAGAATCAGTTAACAAATATCTTCTTATTACATCTGGAAGTTAATTTGATGAGTTATAGAATTAAGTATTAGATTTCAATATTTTATATCATAATGCCCTCAAATTACAAACTGACATATCATAATCTTGTCTTTAGCCAGCAATTTCAAAGAGGGGTCTAATTCTGATCCATTGATTCTTTTTACTAGGAAACATATTTGTACTAGCAGCTATTTGGAATCACTTTTGATTCACAGTAGTTATTTTCCAGTTTAAAGGGCAGTTAGTGGATGCAGTCTACAGGCCTGAAAATAAAAGCTAGAACATTAATACATACATCTACATGTGTCACTCACCAACACAAGTCCTCCCATCTACATCCAGTTTGTAGCCAGCCCCACAGCTGCAGGTGTAGTCTCCCACAGTGTTCACACAGCTAGCCACAGAGGCTGGCCTACACAGGTGGGAACCAGAACACTCATCTATGTCTGGAAATAATAATAATAATAATAATAATGTGCTAGGCAGGCACACTCTTCATTATAATAGATAAAAAAGAAAAATGTGATTGTATTTTAATCATAATTTTTTCTTTTAATTAAAACTTTTATTATTATAATTTATTTCGTTTGCTTGCAGTGGCAACACAGATGGACTAAGTTAGTTAAATTCTGCCTTAAATCAAGAAATTATCAATTCCTTGACTCACAACTTACACATAAAAAATCAACCTCAACATTCAGTTTTTCATAATCTTACCAACACATTTCTTGTCAGCAGTAGCCGTATATTTGGGTGGACAGTTACATGTCACCTCTCCCTGTATGACAGCACAAAGTGGGGCCACGTCCCCAGTGTAGTCACAGGTGGCATTCTGGACACTGTTACACTGCTGCTCAGCTACAATAGCAACAAAATATATAATAACTTACTACAGATTTCTTGTCTAGGAAAAGAGAATAATTTTTCCATTTGACCTGGTGGACTTTCAAAAATAAAAAATGTTCGAAAGCATTGTCTGTCATACAAATTTATTTTTGTAAAAATGTTTAATTGTTTATTTTAATAATTAATTAATTTAATAATCATCATAATAAATTTTTAGAGTTTTGCAGAATGGCAAATAATATAATTATTTATAAAAGGTCACTTACGAATACAAGTGACCTGATCTGTGGTGTCAATGACAAATCCAGTGTTGCAACCACAAGTATACGTAGCCACACCATCAGTACATGTCTGCTGACACGTGTTGTCACGGGTACACTCATCAATCTCTGAAACAGAATGGAAAATATAATTGAAATTGCAATTTGCATCCATTTTAAGGTATGTATATTATCAGCCTAATGTGTTTTTGACAAGTGTAAATGTGATTTTTTGTTTCCCCCATCCTTCTATTTTAAAAAGAATATTTTATTTTCCATTATGGAAACCAAGTACCATTTTATTTGCACAATTGTGATAGTTGTACTAGTAATTTGAAACAAGAATCTATAACTATCTGGGCAATTTACAATCAATGTCATAGCTAACAAAATCTTTACTGTTTCTTAAGCATTATGTTATGTATACATTATGTTATATTGCATTACTGACCAGTACACTGTCCAGTAAGAGGGTCCAGCTCATATCCCAGAGAGCAATCACACCTGTAACTGCCCACAAGGTTGGTGCACACAGCATTGGCTTGACAGGGACTGGCACTACACTCATTTATATCTGCAGAATAACAAGTTAATATGGCAAAACTTAAGTAACATCCAATTCATTGTATTCCCGTCTGCATGACACTGTCTCTAACATTTATTGTACACATTTTTCTTATGAAAGGAATCTTTAAACCAATAGTTTCAATTTTTAACTTTATGTATTGAACAATAATAAATTACAATCACACTGTCCAGTTGTCCCAAGGCAAGTGTCCACACTTACCATCACACTGTCCAGTTGTCCCAAGGCCAGTATAGCCAGTATTACAGGTACAGATATAAGAACCCACTGTGTTGTTACAGGCAGCATTGGAGCCACAGTCGTGGGTGCCTCGTGAACATTCATCAACATCTGAAAAAGATTTAAAACCAAATATTTGAAGTTTAAGAAAATGTTCACCATGTAAACTAACTGCTTATGAACCTTCAGATAAAATTTCACCATGCCTTTGGCAGGAACACATTTTATGTTTTAAAACATGTACTATAATATTATTTTTTACCTTTTTCTATCTAACTAACAATATTATTCTGTAGACAAGTGTATCCTATGAATATAAAATTTTAACCAAAAGCTAAGAAAATGTTTTTTCTTTCTATCATGAGCTGAGAAAAACCCATCATTTGTATAAAACTGCAATTTTCATTATAATATTTTATCCCACTTTCAAAATGCTTTCTCTATTTTCTTACCCAGGCAAGTGGTGAGATCAGGCCCCAGGATGTATCCAGTTCCACAAGAGCACTGGTAGCTGCCTGGCAGGTTACTGCAGGACTGGGCACATGGGGACGGGGTCTTAAGGCACTCATCTTCATCTGTGTGAATGAGAGAAAGAGAACAATAGAGAGAGGAGAAGAGAAATTAAGAAACTTTAAGTTTCAGAAATAAAAACAGTCTCCAAATATCAAGCATTATATGATTAAATTAATTTAAAGTATTTAAAAGTATTTTATACCATTGGATCATTATCATCATCATCATCAATATTATTATTATTATTATTATTATTATTATTATTATTATTATTATTATCTCTTCGGCCATTTCCTCAACGCGAGATTAACCATGACAATGTCTAAACTCAACAAGTGAAAGTAAAGTCCTCACTAACCTGAGCACACAGAGCCATCTCCCACCAGTCCCAGGGGACACGGACCACATTGGAACCCAGTGCCTGGTGCAGCCACATCCACACACGCCACACCAGTGAAACATGGGTTATCAGCACAGCCATCTATGTCCCTCTCACAGTAGTTCCCCTCTCGACCAGACGGGCACTCACAGGGCACCTCTGTGAACAAGTCTGTACTCTCAATGTTGAATTTACATGTGCCTCCATTCTGGAATGAAAAAATAAAAGAAAGACTGGGTTGTTGTGTTTTGGAGGATGCTTTTAATTACTGAATGCATAAACAGTTCTGGTAGGTCACATAAATTGCTATGTGTCTCCTTGAGCATGTCTATAAGTATACTGCCAATTCTCAATTAATCTTTGTCACTAGTGAAGAAAGTCAAGGTCAATTAAGTCAATTAAATATAATGACTATCACATAAATCTTAATTAAAAAAACTACTATGAGAGAAAGCATTTTCAGGTTTTATATCAACATTTTAAAAAGGAGCAAAAAGAAATCAAACTTACCTGGCACTTGCAGTAAAAGAGTTTAGGCAGTAGGGCAGTGTTAGCCTTGCCATCAGAGGCTATGATCTTCAGGGTGGTATTGGAGGTCAGGGTGGTGGGTACACTGCTCCAGGCAAGTTCCCCACTACTGCTACTGATCACTGCTCCTGATGGATAAAAAACATTTTATATGAGACAAAAATATTGCTGAAGACATGGATTACAGAACAAAAAATGGACCTTACAGCACCTGTTCCTGTCGCACCTTGGTTTTGTGTCAGCAAAAAGATCAAATGTGAGACTGAGTGTGGTAGTTGTGCTATTGAGTAATTGTGTCAAATGCATTCTTCAGAACAAAATATCAGCTGCAGCAGCAGCAGAAGAAAAAGACTACTACATGTACCACTTGTAGATCTGTTTGGCTTTGCCACAGATAAAAACTGTTATGTATCACCCATATTAAATTTTGACTAGCCAAGATACAACTGAAACTTATAAAATGTACAAGTGATAAAAAAGAAAATGACAAAGTTTGAAATTTTCTTTTTTTATGACTTGTAAATTTCCTTATTCATATTCTCTATTCACAAAACGAATCATCTTACACAGGCCATCATGACAAGGACATCACTCAATATCTGATCAAATGTTTATGCCATATATGCATGCCTCAAATTCATTTTAAAATCCTGTAAAAGTTTGTAACTGTAATGATACCAATTACTTACCAGTTGGCACAGGGGATGCCAGGCTAAATGAGACAGTATCAGCAGGGTTCTGGTCCTGTGCACTGATGGTGATGTTACTGGCCATGTTCTGTCCTGCAACCAGGTACAGTACTGTGTTGTTGTTGTTGATGGTGGGCGGGAAGTTATCTGAAAGCAGTGAGATAATATATTAAAAAATTATCACACCAAGCCTTAATATGGTGACATAGCATTTAAAATAGCCTGAAATAGCCTTAGAAATAGTTTTTTTCTTTCTCTCATGTAATGATGATAAAATGATGTAATGAAGGTTAAAATATTATGAGTCATATGTAAAAAAAAACATGTTTTGTCTTTTTATAAATGATTTACCTCTTTACCAGTTCGTACATTTTTAATCACTTAATTTTTTTCAGTGTTATTAGCCTTGTTATTAGCCTTGACAGAGATCTGTATTTTTGGAGTGCTCTCTATATAGATTTCAGTCTCTGAAGATGCACACTCACCTACGGCAGCCTTCTCCTCTGCAAACTGTGTTTGAGAGCTCGCTGTGGCAACACCAGCAGCCTCATTTCCAGTCAGGGCGATGTCGTACACGCATTCTCTGTTCAGGTTGGCCATACCACCACATGCACTGATGGCAGACCACTTAGTTGCATTGTCTGCAAACATGGTGTCCAAGTTGAAAAACCTGAAATAACACAAATGGGTAATTATCTTTACAATGAAAAGTTTGATCAACATGTCTTATATGTATACATGAGTTAAGTGTAATAAAATTAAATCATAATAATTCTATGTTAATTTTCATGTAACAATACAAACACATATAACTGAGAGTCAAAATGGTATCATAGGTAAGATACATTTAATAGTTCTAAATTTAAAAGGTTACAGAAAGAGTGAAAAGAAAACTCACAGTGGAGTGAAGCTGTCATTTCCATAAGTCTGGGCTGTCACACCATTTTCATAAGTAAACAGGGACTGGGCAGGATCAATTGCCCCTTGAATGAGAAAATTTTTGTTATAAATTTTTCTAACGTAAATTACAATTGTTTAATTATTATCGAAATATCAGAAATCTTAAATACCTGCAAAATTTGCATATTTTAAAATGTAATTCAAAACCCAGTCAATCAAAAATTTTAGAATTTTCATCTCAACCAGTCAGCTACTTAATGTACTTACACACGCATGGGCACACACACACACACACACACACACACACACACACACACACACACACACACACACACACACACACACACATTGATTTCTATATACGTACAAGTTTGACCCCAATAGTAAAGTTCTTCTTCAGTTGAGTTGGATGGCAACTGTGTGCCATTGGAAAACTTGATATCATCAGCAGGGTTGTCATTAAAGTTACCAAGTAAACCTGTAAGTACAAGATAAAGATGAAGTTATGATGTACATATTGCATTTTAAAACATGGACAGCAGCATAGTACAATGTATAGCTATTATGAGGCTTGTCTTAATATCAAATTTTGAATTATTAAAACATGGCACCGTATGTTTTCACCAATGTATAAAATCAGTGACAAGATCTCCCTATATTTAATAAACTGGCAACTTTACTTTTTTTTTGTTTGTTTCTGCATTCAAATTTACGTGATAAGTTCAGGACTCAAGAAAGTTAACTTTGGTACACATATATGATTAGCTACCGTAAGAAAGAACAACTGTACAGCAAAACCTGTGACAAAATACTAATTACAAACAGTATAGCAATAAATACTTCAAAAATGTACTACAAAACATTTCCAGGAAAAAGACATTTTTTTACATATATATCTCTAAAATCACATGTAATTTAGTCACCTGAAAGAGTTCCCTTCCAGCTAGCAGGAGCAGCTACAGAGATGGTGGTCATGTTGAAACTTGCTGAAGTCTTCACCTCGACCTGAGACGAGAAGACCATAGAGTATTCTGCGCCATTCTTGGTGACGCTGACTTTGTTATAGAGCTGAGTGCTACTGAAGTCTACATTCTGGATAACTCCATTGACTAGGACATCTGGAATACCAGAAGAAGCTAGTTAATATTATGTTATTGAGCATAATACAATCAATAAATATAAAATGACCAAAAATTCTTTTTTTTTCAATCCCATAAATCATACCATGCCATACTAAGAAATTGTGCAACTTTATTTTGTACATTATCTTAACATACATGTATCAAAATCATAAAATAGATTAAATTGCTTCCTGTATTTATGTTATTAATCATACTAGTCAATTACCAAACTGTCAAAATTTATCTGAACTATTCATAATATTGCACCTTTCTACACAAGTACCCGCCACCATAAAAGTCCCCAACACCCCCCACTTACTCCCATACCAATACCCACTTACCAATATCGCTCCCTGTGGTAGAATTCAGCCTGAGCTCCACCACATCACTATCAGTGCCCCCTGGCACCACCTGTTTAGCAGCAAACGAGTTGAACACGGTGGCTCGGGCAGGGGGCGTGTCTGTCACTGCTAGGGCGGTGCGGCCCTGCAGGGTGAAATGGTTGCCCGTGACCACGGTGTACTCTCCGTAGCCATTGAATGAGAAGCCGAGACCATCCAGGGTGGTGACATGGGGGTCCCCAGCAGAGAGAGCTGAAAACCCATGGGGAGAATGGCAATAAACTGACACAATCAAGACACAATCAAGAATGAGTTACGTGAGGATGAGAATAACAATGAACTGCATGTTTCAAGATTGTGGAGAATGCAACTTAGAAATATTTAAGAATACATATTGCATGTAGATTTTTGTCTATTAGTAAGAAACTTATTAAAACTGCAGTCAATACATTTATGGCACAATGGATCAGATAGGTGCCGTTATGGTATGAATAGATACAATTTTTTAGAATTCTGCAAAACAACTGATCGTTCTTATTATAGCACATCAATCACATACCTTGACCAGGAGGCACAAAACTAGAAGAATCAGACATGGGTCTCTTCAGTAGGAAATCACTACAATGCACAGTACTGCTAATACAACAGTGGGTGAACGCCGCTGCCTCAGCCTGACCCTGGGAAGTACTCGGATTAAACCTGCGATAGATATTCCCTCCATTCATAAATTTCCAATCCGACACCAGTGCCATGGCCAGAGCTCCATTGGCTGAGGTGTTGGTGTAGTAACAGCAGTTGGGGGTCTCCGAGACAATGCCCGAACCTTCAGGAAATGCCAGTTGGTAACACTGGACCACCAGTTGATCTATGATTTGTGTAGGGTTGGCTGACCAGCTCTGAGTGAGTTGGTTAAGGCCTCCCGGGCACCTGCCTGGTTTACCTGTGCACATTAAAAAAACAGGCTGGTGTTATCTAACATGAAATATTTATCATAATTTTGTTTTTGTTCTTCATAAATGGATGTATTGTACCATTTTTTGTCTCCATATAAAGAAAATTTGTAAACTTAAATGTTCAGTAAAGAATTTTTAATGTACAGTCTTATTTTGCATGTTCCTGAAAAACTTTGTGGTTTTATATCAGTTATAACACCCTCGGAAACACAATCACTCAACTATCCCCTTTTTTGCACTGGTTTTATTTTATACACATGAATTCATTAAATCACACTAACAACAATCCTTTCAATTTTAACCCTACCTGCAGCAATGGGTGAATTTTGCGCATCGTACAAATCATCAGCCTTTATCCAGTCACTGCAAGCCACACCAGGGTTTATAAAACTCCCCTGGTTGTTGCTGCTAAGGACATAGACAAAGACACCATCTCCAGTCCCCGTGGCATTCTCTGCATCAATCAGTTCCATGCGACTCTGATCACCGATGGTTGCATAGGAGTAGGCATATTCTTCCTGTCTCTGTGCAGAGCCTCTGACAAGGTAGCCAACCCTGACAGGATAGTTTGGCTGGAAAAGGGAATATATACCATATAAAATGTGTTTAAAATTGTTATACAATCCTGATTTATAATGATGATAATTCTGAGTAGTATTATAAATGGCGATTTACACTTGTTTGACAATTAACAATGAATTTCAGTCATTGCAGTACCTTTTTACATTTATTTTCCATTCCTGTGAGATGGGAATGCAGTCAATCAAAAGTCAATTTGACAAGCAACTAAAGCAGGTTTAGAATATCATTTCATATTTATCTATAAAGCCAAAGGATTTTTCTTAGTTAATATGAGAGATGGAACAAATAAGAAAAATGACTAAAATCAGATTAAATCTATTGGCAATGGATGATTGCAGGTAGTTTATTCCATTTTCCTACAAAAAATGTTTTAATGGCATTATTTCTGTTCGAGCTCTTATAAAGTATGTATATTATTTATGAGGAATATTACATTTATCTACAGAAAAGAGTACCTTGTTAGCTGGGTCCAGAGTCAGTCTCCAGTTCATGTCCCTGTCAGCATAGGTGTATACCACTGCTGTGTTCACATAGTCAGTCACTAACACTGCCTGAATAGACACAGTCTGAAACAGAAAGAAATAATAAGAAATACATTTAAGTATCAGTGGTGCACTTATGACTACTGCACCTTTTTGTTAAATACTGAAAATGAATAAAAAACATATCTGTTGAATAAAACCCCTCCGTTTCTTTACAATTTTTTTGTCAACAAGAATGTCAGGAACTAGTCTGGAAGCTAAACTCCTTTACCATTGAAATTACCATTGAAATTGATACACTTAATGTCACACCAATGGCTTTTGCTATTTATGTCAAAACTGGGTAGACTACAACTGACATTTATGTCACTCACTACAGCGGCATATAGCAAGAATGCAGAGGCTGGCATTTCCTGGTATGATATGGTACATTTGTGATATAGATAACAATTATGACATCTAAAATACGGACTTAATTAAAAGGATTTCAAAATAGACAAAGAGAATAATCATTTATAAAATCATCAGCCATCTACCTGTTGCTGGTTGACTTTGTGTTGCATGTTGTACCACGTAATGACCACCATGTACTGGGCCTGGAAAGCATAGCCCACCCCCTTCTTGTTGACCAGGTCACTGATTTTCTCCAGGACTGACTGGTCAGCAGCAGTATCTATACTGTATTCCTTGTAGTAGACACCTCGTCCAGCCTACAATATAGTTTTCATTACTGTAACAGATTTCATTCAAAAAATCATTTGCTGCTTCCAATACATTGAGTTTTCTTTTTGCACAAAACATGATTTTACAGATATTATCAATTTTAGAATAAAATTACTGGGTATTTAAAGAAGTAAAGAGACTAAACATGTTTTCTACCTTATTTGCATTGACAAGTCAGTTGTGATCCACATCTTCTTAGAACATATAAAACATCAAGCCACTTGGGTACAAACATTTTCAGTTTTTTTTTTTAATAATCACCTTTGAGTTGTACAATTCATACTTCCCACTTACATTCTGGTCAGACATGAAGAGAGTTGTCCAGAATGGGGCCACTATGGCTTTCTCTTGAAAGTCTGACTGGAAGGTGTAATTCATCAGGGGGTCACTGGGGGCCGTTCTGAAGTCTCTCCTCACCGGGTCAGCCACGGCCTCGTCCCTGGTCACTGAGGAGATGGCTATCACTCCATGCTGGACAAACTGTTATATGAGGGTAGGTACAGTTCAACTAACATTCATGAAATTCTGTGGAATCTTTACCGATTCCCCTAATGTACTTGTACTACATTTAGCACAAACTTTACATTGGCGCACGTGTAAATTCATCATGATCATTTTATCATGATCATTAAAAAAAAATTAATTCTCTTTCAAAATCTAAATGTTAAAATCAGGCCTACCCAACTACCAGACTCGGCACCGAATGATCCTGAATTCACCGGTAAATCGGACCACACTACCCGTTTTCAAGGTGTGTATCAGTATGCATTTCACAGTATCAGACGCGACACCGCTCTTGCCTAGCGTTTTCAAGGTGTGTATCAGTATGCATTTCACAGTATCAGACGCGACACCGCTCTTGCCTAGTACGCGATGTGATAGTGACAATTCTCAGCGGGGTTGAAAAGCATTGCATCACCACTCAAAATTTGTTCAGGGTATGATACTGTGTAATGCGTACTCACTCACACCTTGAAAACGGGTAGTGTGGTCTGATCTACCAGTGAATTCAGGATCATTCGGTGCCGAGTCTGGTAGTTGGGTAGGCCTGAAAATGCTAAACAGAATTTTAAGAGAGTACCAGTACATCTTATTATAGTGAAAACACTTACATATAGAGATGGAAATATCTGGCCATCATACATAGGAATTCCATACTTAGGAAAGATGAATGAAGACTTCATTGTAGTGTTGAAATTAACAAATGGCAGCTGGGTGTGGTTGGCAAAGGGAATGAATCTGTCAGCTGTAAAAAAAGAAAATTTCAAATTTTGCATTGTTTTTTTAAAACATTTTATTTACAAAGAGCCAAACATCTTGCATGTATTTCATTATAATGTAACCTACATTGTATCTGTAATCAGAAACTTATACTTTACTTCCAATTGCACTATAAATGTAGCAGCGGTTACTTAACACTTACTGATACCAAGTTACATTATCCCAAGCTATGTCACTTATCTGTGAACAAAAGACTTAAATCAATACAGTTATGCTGCTAGTAAGCATCATTTTTCCAGTTCCTTCAAAGTCTATAACTACTCACCTTTACAGTTACCAGTGAAGCCATCCCCAACATATGGAATAACACACTGACAAGTGTAACTGCCCACTGTGTTAATACACTGTGACCTGCCTGGGTCACAAGTATGCTGGCCAAGGAGACACTCGTCAACGTCCACACAAAGACGAGTGCCATTCTGCTGGGTGTAGCCAGTGCTGCACTTGCAAGCGTAAGATCCCTCACTGTTCACGCATGCTCGCACTCCAGTTTTGAACTGGCCACCTGCTTTGCAGTCGCTGACGTTGGCGCTGCATTCATCCATGTCTGTCAAAGTAGACAAAATCTATAACAATCTGACAAACAACAGGTGTTAAATATACCTATATTTACATATATTCGCAATCTAATATTGCATAGGATCACTTCACATTGTTTTTCACTTGATGCCAAATATATATACATATATTTGCAATCTAATACTGCATAATAAGGATCACTTCACAATGTTTTTCATGCAACTTTATTTTCCTTGATGCCATATACACTAGCTATCCTCAGACTGCCTTTTAATGAAAAAGTCTATTTAAATAAGACGTGGGGGCTAGGGACCGCCTTCTCAAAGATATTATTTCTGGCTCCCAAAAAGTTGAAAATCGGCTAATAATCAGAAAAATCTCCTTACCCACACATTGCTGTTCACTGACGACCAGTCCAGCAGAATTTCTTGGATAGTCAAAGCCGGCTGAGCATATGCACTTGTAGCTGCCTGTACTGGTCACTCCACAAATGTGACCACTGCATGGACGCTGGACCACTGGGATTCTGGGATTTGTACACGGGTTGGTCGCAACTGAAAAATAGAATAGTAGAATTTTGGTACCTCATTTACCTTTCTTATTTACACAACATTGAAAACAAAAAAATGTATATAATATCATCAAAACTGATTCTGGAAATAATAAAACTGCAAATCAAATTCATTTTTTCAATCACATGCAAGTATCATGCAAAATAAGGGGACTAACTGCATAAACAATGTTCTCAAGTAGGGTTATGACTCAATCTTTTCAATGTGGAAAACTTATCGATTTTTTAGATACATCACTTTAGAATCATTAAAATATGTTACTGTATAGCATTTGTAGTGTTTTCTGTATAGACTAGAACTATAATCTAGCCATTTTTTCAGTTAAGTTGCTACCGCTCAATAAGAATTTTTCTAATTTTAAAAAAGTATGACTTGAAAAATACAGTATCCATAGAATTCACAATTTTTTTCCATTGAAAAGAATGAGTAATTACCATACATCATAAATCAATACTTTAACCCAATTCATGCCAGACAATATCCAACTCGTAATTACCTATGCACTCAGAGACATTGCATTTCTCCACTTCTTGTGCCTGGCCCAGGTTGAAGCCAATACAATCACTATCTGAGAGAATGGTGCCCTGGATATTGGTGCAGGTTCTGCTACGGTTTCTGTATGACGCTGAACCGCAGGTCTCAGAGCAGTTGCCCCATGGGCTCCAGGCTTGGTAATATGGTGACACTGAAATTAATACACATAAGATGTGATCATTCACTACAAAAGTGACATTTATGGAATCTTTTTGTAATATTCTTTTAAATTAAAGATCCATGCCAACACCTTGTGTGAACTTTTTGTCTTTTCTTATTTTATTTATTTATTTTTTTCAATTATTTATCCAAATCGATGATGAATATTTTCTTTTCCCTAATAAATTTCTGGCCAATATAAAAATCACTCTTAATCAAACCATATCATTATAATGATCAAGTCACACACAAACACAGACCATTATTTTGGCCAGAATAAAATGACACATTGATAAAAGGTTAAACTTCAAGATATCCATTTTCATGGATCACTGCGCATAGTGCAACATACCCCTGTACATGTTCATATAAATAATACTGCAAAGTATTGCTTACTTAATGCCCAGTAGTCACATTCCAATAATGTTAATAAGCCAACTTCTAAATTTTCATTTTGACCACAGGGTATAATGACGGTCAAGTACCAAGGCTCCAAGTGAATTGCTTTGTACATATTTACTCAGTATTAGCTCTCCTGTAGACACTGAATAACTGCACTGTGTCAACAAGTACCAGTAGAAATTTAAATGGACTTTTTCAAGGGTGCAACAGTTGCCGTTCTTTTTGTTTGTTCATTTTTAACAAAGGTTTCCCTTCAATTATCGGAAATCAGTGACAGCACTTTGAGCTAGTTCTGATGCACTGTGATAATAAATTGTTCAAAATTTTCATTAGGTTGCTCATTTTACATCATAAATGAAATATCTGAAATATTTCTTTAGAAAGAAACAATGTAAACTATAAAAAAAATTCCTTATAATTATCAAAATTTAATAAAAAAAATCTAGTTATCTTTCAATAATTAATCATAAATATCTGGATGATTTAATGAAAAAATCCCATATAAGATATTCAAATTGGAAATATTTGCTTAAAAATAATAAATAAATCAATAACCTGGTTAATCTACTCTAATGGTCACAGGAGTAATATATAAGTATTGACTTGCATGCCTCCCACACACCAATGGCAATGGTATTGAATCCGGACACTGTCCAAATTTAGTTGACCAATTTTGCTTCATTATAAATATGGATTGTTTATTGAACTTCCTAGGTTACCTATTTATATAATTAGTTAACACTCAAAGTGGCAGTCACACACACAATGGTATAATTCTGTAATCTTAAATTTTCCTTTTGAAGTCATTGCGCTAAGTATATTAACTGTGGGTGGAAATTCAAATCAATGAACATCGACATATGCATTAACGACAACAATATAACTCCAAGGTTCATTCACATCATTATTTGGTGCCTTGGGAATAGCATGAAATGAAAACAATATGTTCAATATTTAAAATGTGTATCAAGTCCATCAATGATGTTTTACTGAAGGCCCAAAAGTACTTAACAAATGCCCAAAAGTTCTTCCCAGTAGGTTTGCATTAGGTTTTAATGTGTTTGATACAATGCTCTATCTTCTCAAAAGCAAACTAAAATCCAAAAGACCGATTTTGCCAATTAGTGTTTGGCATTTGATATTTCATACATAATAAAGTGGAAGCCTTTTATGATACCCTATGAGATAAATTGGCGCCTATACTGATTTGACACATTATTCTCCAAGGAAATACTAGGAAATAATCAATAACCTTTACTTCTGATGACTTCATGATAAATTTCTATTAGATTTTAGAATAGAGCCAATGTTTGATACTTACCACTGAATAAAATTCTCTCTGTCAATATTTGCCTAAACAGTACAGCAGGAATTAAAATCTATCATATTTTCAAAGTTGAAATACCTTTAACAGTAGCATATGGTGAAATAATTTGAACTTACAATACTGACAGTTTTCTCCATAAGTATTGTTAATACACTGGCATGTATATCCACTGATTTGGTCCACACATGTCCCTCCATTCTGGCAAGTGACTCCAGCACAGTCATCCATATCTGGAGACAAAAAAATTGTTTCTATTTGAAAAAGTCAAAGAAATAGAAATGGGCCAATTAAGTCAGTTTCATTTTTTTTTCTACAAAACTCATAATCTCATAATGTATTTAGTACATATATTAACAAAAATCAGCTTTTTAAAAACTCCCATTATTTGAAAGTTTTTGTTTTTCCCATGTTATTGTGAAAATAAATCAGTTCGAATTTTAATATATCAAAATTATAACCCAGATTCCTCAGTTTGCTTTCCAGCATAACACATCAGTATTTACTACGTTGCAATACTTCATAATTCCCCTAAAGACAGGAAATTAATCATTGTTTATGCTACTAGTGGGACTTACTCACTTCCCCCTGCAGGAAAACTAGATTATATTGATCTGAAGACCAGGTAACCAAACAACAGATTAGATGCAATTATTTTGGCTTTAGCTTAATTGCCTTTGTTTCTTGGTCAAAACAGATGCCCTTTACCGGCCAGCATGCACCTTAATTATTATTTGATGCATAATTAAAGGTGTTATGGTGAAATTGTTTGTATGTTCTCATGGTAATGAAATTTGGACACTCTGATAAGCTTTTACGTGTTCTGTTATTACACTTAGATAATATGGTTTAACATATGAAAATATACTATATAATGATAATAATCAATACTACAAAATAATTTTTACTATTATATTACCCGTATACACATTCAGAGAAGTAGCCAGGGGGGGGGGGGTCGAGGGGGGAGCTCGAAAGAAACCCCTTTTTTCTGGGAAAAGGTCCACTCTGGGTAAATTTGATCTAGGTAACTAAGGTTTCATGACAAAGGGACCACAGTTTAAAAAAAAAAGGAGGCCCCCTTTTGCAATTGTTGGCTGTGGGTCTGACATTATTAATAAAAGTAAGTGCTTTGAAGTAAAACACTATGATACACTGTTTCTAGTTAATACAAAGCTAATTGAAGAGTGATAGGGTGTTAATGCTTACTTGTGCTGCAGTTCTTGCCAGTATAGCCAAGCGGGCAGTAACAGGTGAAGTCTGCCACTTGATCCAAACAGCTCCCTCCATTTGCACATGGGGATGTGGCACATTCGTCGATCTCTGATATTAAAAAAGATACAAAAAGGTTAGCACAGCCATTAATATTTTGTGACCAACTATTTATTCAAAAAGCCAGATTATCATGAAATCAATTAATCCTTTAACGTGCATGTGTGTGTGTGTGTGTATGTGTATGTGTGGGGGGGGGGTAGGGGGAATTCTTGATGACCGTTAACTAGCAACCGATTCACGTCTTATATGGTCACCGTATATCCTAACTCGGCAGTGAACATATTCACATCAATATACTTATTCGAAGTAATAAGTATCCGGCCTACGATTGCTTTTACTAAAAAACTGAAACATCACTTTTAATGCTGACTCTGCTTACTCGGCCCGGTGTGGCGTGTACCGCTTGGAGCGCGAACAATCCGTTCTGCTCATGCGCACAAAGCGCAGGCAAATCTGAGAGACTTCCGGCGTGTACAGTCTGTCTCAATGGTCATGAATACATTCTTAGCCTTTAATAAACATGCGCTGTTGAGAACATACTGCAAATTCAAACATAATATTTAGAAGTATTCATATCTTTTAGATGTTCACCTCTACTGTGATTTCCCTCAGGTGGCCATATCAACACACTAGCCTAGTAAAATCAGTACTAAAATGGTAGCCAGCAGCTGAATAACGACGGCCCGTCCATGGTAGGTTCATCCATGCATCAAGCTGTAATTTGACGCTGATTCTCTATCAAAATTATCAATTAACACATGAACTTTATCCCCATCATAGTAAATGTATAATTTGGTAGGGAATGAACTAGCCGAATATAACAGTACAGGTGAGTAACAACGGATCATTCACGGAACGGTTCATACCCGCGTCTGCTGCGTGTACAATCGGTCAGGACGGATGGTTCACGCAGAACGGACCGTACACGTGACACCGGGTTGCCCAACAGCAACACTGCCCTACGGCAAAAAAATTTAAATTGGATCATTACAGGCTAAAACCTTGAATTTAACAAAAACTTCTTACGTTAAATCAAACCTCTGCAATGTTTTGTCTCTCAAGGGACACGGTTGCTGCATTCGGACCCAGTCTGCTATTCAGATACGATATGTGCTGCTGATACTGATGCGCGCGCAATACATGACACTTCTAAAGACGTCACGCTAGGCATGCCACCGGAATGTTCACTTGTGTTGGACTCAACTCCGAGTCAAGTTGAATTATTGCGATCTCCCGCGTTTAGAATGGAAAACTAGAACATATGGAATTTGCTACACACCTAACTCATTTCACCAATATAGATCTACCTGTATTTAATGTCATTTCAACACTTACTTGTACAGTAAGTCCTACCAGCTGATATGCATTTTTCAAATAGCCTTAAATTTTGCACAGTGCCACCCTGAGTTTGAGGGGACACTGGGACTTCAACTCTCTACTATCAGCACCCTGTGCCGTTTAATATAGAAGCATAGCAAATCCAAAGAACTGATGGAATTCCCAGTGTGCTATCACTGCTATGCAACACATACATGTCTATGCATGTAGGCCTTATGTGCCCATGCAGTACCTACATGTATTTCAGGTTCAAGCAATTTTCGTGTTTTTTATATCCCAAATTTTCTTCCTACCTGTTTGGCAGGTACTGCCTGTATAACCCGCTGGGCATGTACAAGTGAAGGCATTTACACCATCAATGCACGTTCCACCTTGACGACAGGGATTGGAAAGACAATCATCAATATCTGTAACGAAGATAAAGAAAAAAATTAAATAAATTGCTTAATTTGAAAAAATAGCCTTGGTATGTAATCAAAAGGTATGCTGTATAGCCCTTAAGCCAAAGGATCTTCATGTCTTTCATTTCATTATCATGTTTTTTTTTTCCGTGAACAACGAACAGTTGTCCAAATTATTCGCTACGAGAAATTTTATATTGATGGCATTTCGTTCAAAAAAATTTTGGCATTCTTCATTTTGATAGCTAACACCTAGGCTACATTTTGGCTGTATGAACTGACACTGGAAAATTAGTCAACAAGCAAACCAAACTAATAATAATAATAATAATTTCATTTACTTGTAGTGCAGTTCTTCCCAGCATACCCAGGGAGGCAGTCGCAGGTGTAGTCCAAGTTACCGTCTATACAGCTGGCTCCGTTCTGGCAGGGGCTGTTGGCGCATTCATCCAGTCCTTTAATAAAACGCAAGGACGCAATTAAACTTCATGTGTATATGTCCGTCATTCATCTTGGAAACCATCTCACGGCACGAGTATGATAAAAACCTTCATGCTGATATTTCATACTTATTCCATATACAAAGTACACAGTGGAAGTAAAAATGTTACATCACAATGGCCTTAAATCCATACTCAAACGGTGGAATGAGTAAAGACAGTAAATTATAAATACCTTCTATATTCAGCGAGCAGTTCTTGCCGTAGAACGTGCCCGTGCAATTGCACATGAAGTCGGAACCTGTGTCTGTGCATGTGCCGTTATTTTCACAAGGCGACGCAGCGCAGTAGTCTATAGCTGAAGTAAAAAAAAAATGATACCCCTCAGATTTACAACGTTTTCTTGAAAAATATAGGACCCATAAACCAGATAGTTTCACGTCTTCAGAAAAAAAAAGAAAGAAAGGACTAATACCGGTACGCATGGAATTGATCATGAATAGAACAGAAAATAAGATGATAAAAGCGAAGAATGCATAAATGCTTTATAAGTTATCACTTACGTGCGGATGTGGTGACTTCCACTTGAATCGATGAGCTTGCCGAAATCGACACTGGACTGGAACTTGTCGCAGCACCTGCACTGCTAGCCACCGCACCTGAAGAAACTGCTTGTGTTGTCCCCAAGGACTGGGTTGCACTAAATACTGCTCCAGAGGTTGTCATGTCCGATGAAGATGCCGTCAAAGATTGTTGTGGAGATTGACTTGTTGATACTGATGCCCCGAACGATGCTGGACCACTGCTTTGCAGCATTTGGCTTGTAGATGCCACCATGCTCTGAGAGCTACTTGGGCCCGTCACTATGTTCTGAGTACTAGCAGATACGCTTCCAGAGGAAGCCAGCATAATTCCAGAGCTCGCTGAAGTTCCCATGATAGAAGACTTACTAAGCTGGTCTGATGACATTGGCATTACCACACTTGATGGCATAGCAGATGCTGACCCGCTGCTTTGCATCAGACTTGAAGAGCCCATTGAAGTTTGCATTAAAACGGACGCCACTGGTTGGCTAGCTGACGAAATTTGATTTGAGGACATGCTCTGCACCATGGGACTTGTACTGGTAGATGCGCTTCCAGAAGGTGGTATCGTATTTACAGAACTCAGTGACGCACCCATCATAGAGGACGTCACAGACTGGCTGTCTGGTGAATATTGATTCGATGACATGCTTTGAATCATATGGCTTGTAGATGCGCTTCCAGAATGTGGTGCCATATTTACGGTGCTCATTGACGCTCCCATCATAGAAGACATCACAGATGAGCTATCTGACGAAAATTGATACGATGACATGCTTTGAATCATCTGGTATGAAGACGCGCTTCCGGTTAATGGTATCATATTGACAGAACTTACTGAAGCTCCCGCCATGGACACAATAGACTGACCATCTGAAGAAAGTTGTGCAGATGACATGGTTTGCATCATAGGGCTTGCAGACTCACTTCCAGATGTTGGTACTATATTTGGAGAGCTCATCGGAGACGTCATAGACTGGTCATGTGAAGAGAGCCCTGATAACATGGTTTGCATCGAGGGACTTTCAGATGCGATTGCAGATGATGGTAAAATATTTGGAGAGCTCACAGTAGACATCATAGACTGGTCATGTGAAGAAAGTTGCCCTGAAAACATGGCTTGCATCGTTGGGCTTTCAGATGCGATTCCAGATGATGGTATCGTATTGAGAGAGCTCACTACTGCCCCCATCGTAGAAGACACCATAGGCTGGCTATCTGTTGAGGGCTGACCCAACGACATGGTTGGCATCACCTGGCTTGAATATGTACCAGCGTTTCCAGAAGATGACACCATATTCTGAGTGCTCATCAAAACTCCTATCATAGAAGACGGGCTTTCTGACGAAAACTGGCCTCCTGACATCTGTATTGAAGCAGGCGAAGAAAAATAAGATGTTGACTCACTATTTTGCATCATTACTTGAGAGTTCATTGAGACTCCTGTCATAGATGGCATCATAGACTGTTCTGACGACATGCTCTGCAACATCGAGCTCACCGATGCACTTCCAAAAGATACCATTACACTCTGCGAGCTCAGCGGGTCCGTCGTCATAGAAGATTGACCAACTAAAGAAAGCTGGTCTGATGACAGTGAGCCATACGAGGAGAAAGAAGGTGATTGACTACTGATTAATGGCATACTTTGAGAGCTCATGGAACCTCCCATCACTGAAGACTGACTTTCTGATGACATGCTTGTTGGCATAAACTGGTCGGTAGATGCCGTTCCAGACGCCATCACGTTTTGAGTACTCATCGAAGCCGCTGAAATTGATGGCTGACTGTCCGATGTCAACGACGACATTGAAGTAGGCGAAGATACATCAGACCCAGAAGGGGCACTATTAGTGTCTGTTGAAGAGTATGGACCGGAAGAATCCGAAGAAGAAAATGTAAAACCGACATCACTAGCGGACGAAGACACCAGTGGTGATACTGATGTGCTTTCGATTACGGCACTGGTGCTAGTATAGTTGCCAGGGATATGGAAGACTAAAATACAAATAGATAGCCACCGGACCAGCCGTATCTGAAATATACAGTGTATAAAACGGGTTTAAACATATTGGCACTTGAAAGATCATTCCATTGGGTTCCATTTTTTTTTTTTTTTTTTTTTTTGTTATGACCACATGCTTCAATAAGAAATTCACAAAAAATGAACTCAACAGGGATAATTGAAATGTTCGTCAAACGAATTTTTCTCTTTCTTTTTCAAGCTGTAGAGCGTTAAGTTGTTTCAAATGCCTTATTCCCATGGTGTACTTTTGTCTTCCTAAAGACTGAGAAATACTTTGATGGAGATTCTCAAATGGTGTATTTCGCGTGGCTCCCTCATGTGTTACTTTGAGTATCAGAGATAAAAATAGGCCTATATTTGGAAAAAAAACATAAAACGTGTCGCACAATACAACACTTATGTCGAAGTGATCTGTATGAGTAAGAGATTAAACGGGATGAAATCACATTATCTCAGTTACTGACACTAATGCCAAAAGTTCAAGTACAAGTATAGCCTCAGAAAAAGTTCTCCATCAACCATCATCCCTTTGACCAAAGATCTTGTATTGACCCACTGCCAATATTCCATCTGCATATATCTCTCAGATTTTGTGTCATCATCACATTTAGTAGGTTGTACATCTTTTACATCTACTTGCAGATACATATGCTAATTGCTTTGATGGTAAACAGTAGATTTTATTCAAGTGTATTTCAGTTTTAGATTAAAAAAAACGCTGTCGGTAGAATTTGCCTGTTGCTGGGCACTTATTTCATTAGTTAACAAGAGCCCTCTCTGCTGCAAATATGTTTGGACCTTTATGACGAAGACTCAGACAGTGTGATGACAGACACTGGTTTTAACTACGCTCTGAAAGCTGGGTCCACCAGTAGTCTATTACAAATTAATTGTATCGGACCCTGTGGGATTTGACGTGATCAACAGGAACGCGCGTTCCTCTCCAGACATTCCTTTTTTTATTTAACAAAGGGGCGATACCACCCCTAGGTGCTGAGTAGCGCACATCTACCATCTACCAGGGTGGCAGATATTATAGGGAGATCTTAAATTTTGGCAGAGAATGAAATGACTGTCTATTTATCTAAAGAAATATCTGTGAATATCTTGTGAAAAATCAATCATCCTCCTCTGCCAGCGGCAACCGTGTAAGGGGCACTTTTCAAACCGGCTTTATACTTTGCACTTTGCGATTACTTAACACCGTAAATTTCCGGAGACCATGGGAATTCAACATTCTACTTTCGGTACCTTCTTCCAGGACCGCAGTTAAATTATTTGCATTATTTTCCAGCGCGAGAGAGAATCGTTTCTTGACTTAGAGAAATACATCTGTTAATATCTAGCGGTACATCAATTTTCTTGGTAAAGGCTAGGCAGGATAGTTACATAACAGCAGACGAGCTGATTGGGTGTACGCCCACAGAAACATATGCTTTAATCTTGTATACTATTTTAGAGGCCCTTATATCAGAGGGTAGCGTTAAACGTTGGTTACGTCTTTCTCACCGGTTCTCCAAGGTTTGTTTCTGACCGTGCATGATAACTGTCACGCGACCAATAATTTCTAGGGTAATGTTTTCACTGCGGGCTTTCTCATTAGGAAATAATTTACAATTACCAAGTACACATGGGGATTATTTGATGTTGAATTATTAAAAGGGACATGGTGCCAGAGAGTGATGTCGACCGGCGAAAAAAACTCAATTTTTTTATAAAGCTCTTACAACGGTCGGTAATAGGTTTACCTAAGCATATAATGTGCAGGTATTGTTCATCCAGAATTTTCCGATTAGATTTGGTGCTTTACAAATAACTTAAAGTACCCATTTCAATCACGTGTTTTTAGGTTTAAAGCGGAAATATCTCCAGCATCTTTCATTGTTTTCATATCCCTGTTGTGGAATACTTTTAATGAGCACAGAGATGAGCAATGGTAGAGCAAAAACTTTATGATGATCGCAAGAAAATGTTCTTCCCTCTTTAGCAAGCCATTTATAAATACCCGATGAAATGCACATGATGAGATATGAAAAATTATTCCTATAGATAAAATACTTGAATATGAAAAAACACTCGTAACTTACCATATTGAAGTTGTACATGTATAAATGCGGCACTCTCAGGTGACGGTCAGCCCCGCTAACCTTTTTTCGCTTTGCTCGATTTTTCTTGTTGCGATTACTTAAATCACAAACGTTTTCCTTATTGTCTTATTTGTATATTTTCCGTGGCAATAAAAGTTTGCCTTCCATTATGTTTCGTTGTCTGTGACTGTTACAACGGCTGATCACGACGAAGTAAATATGAGCTGAGAGGGGTCGGGTGTTACTGGTTGCTATGGCAACAACTCAGCTTTATTGGCTTGCAGTCGTAGTAACACGCCGTCGACACGCAATCGCGAAGNATTTTTTTTTTTTTTTTTTTTTGTTATGACGACATGCTTCAATAAGAAATTCACAAAAAATGAACTCAACAGGGATAATTGAAATGTTCGTCAAACGAATTTTTCTCTTTCTTTTTCAAGCTGTAGAGCGTTAAGTTGTTTCAAATGCCTTATTCCCATGGTGTACTTTTGTCTTCCTAAAGACTGAGAAATACTTTGATGGAGATTCTCAAATGGTGTATTTCGCGTGGCTCCTTCATGTGCTTCTTTGAGTATCAGAGATAAAAATAGGCCAATATTTGGAAAAAACATAAAACGTGTCGCACAATACAACATTTATGTCGAAGTGATCTGTATGAGTAAGAGATTAAACGGGATGAAATCACATTATCTCAGTTACTGACACTAATGCCAAAAGTTCAAGTACATGTATAGCCTCAGAAAAAGTTCTCCATCAACCATCATCCCTTTGACCAATGTATTGACCCACTGCCAATATTCTATATGCATACATTTCCCTGATTTTGTGTCATCATCACATGTGGTAGGTTGTACATCTTTTACATCTACTTGCAGATACATATGCTAATTACTTTGATGATAACTAGGTCTGAAAACTAGGTCCGCCAGTAATCTGTTACAAATTAATCGATTCGGACACTGTGGGATTTGACGCGATCAACAGGAAAGCGTGTTTCTCTCCAGACATTACTTTTTTCATTTGACATAGGGACGATTCCACACCTTGGTGCAGAGTAGAGCACATCTACCTTCTACAAGGGTGGCAGATATTATAGGGAAATCTTAAATCCTGGCAGATAATGTAATGACTGTCTGTTTATCTAAAGAAATATCTGTGAATATCTTGTGAAAAAACCAATCCTCCTCCTCTGCCAGCAGCAACCGTGTAAGGGGCACTTTTCAAACCGCTTTTAATTTTGCACTGTAACACCCTGAATTTCAAAGGAGACCTTAGGAATTCAACATTCTACTTTCGGTACCTTCTACCAGGTCCGCAGTTGAATTATTTGCATTTTTTCCAGCGCGAGAGAGAATCGTTCATGACTTAGAGAAATACCGGTACATCTGTTAATATCTAGCGGTAAATCATTCTGTGTTCCTGGTAAGGCTAGGCGGGATAGTTACATAACAGCAGACGAGCTGATTGGGTGTACGCCCACAGAAACATATGCTTTAATCTTGTATACTACTTTAGAGGCCCCTTATATCAGAGGGTAGCGTTAAACGTTGGTTACGTCTTTCTCACCGGTTCTCCAAGGTTTGTTTCGGACCGTGCATGATAACTGTCACGCGACCAATAATTTCTAGGGTAATGTTTTCACTGCAGGCTTTCTCATTAGGGAATAATTTACAATTACCAGGTACACATGGGGATTATTCGATGTTGAATTATTAAAAGGGACATGGTGCTAGAGAGTGATGTCGACCGGCGAAAAAAACTCAATTTTTTTTATAAAGCTCTTACAACGGTCGGTAATAGGTTTACCTAAGCATATAATGTGCCGGTATTGTTCATCCAGAATTTTCCGATTAGATTTGGTGCTTTACAAATAACTAAAAGTACCCATTTCAATCACGTGTTTTTAGGTTTAAAGCGGAAATATCCCCAGCATCTTTCATTGTTTTCATATTCCTGTTTTGGAATACTTTAAACTTGGACCTAAATAGAGAAGGTCTCTATTTAGGTCCAAACTTTAAATGAGCACATATATGAGCAATGGTAGAGCATTCCCTCTTTAGCAAGCCATTTATAAATACACGAAGAAACGCACATGATGAGATATGAACAATTATTCCTATAGATAAAATACTTGAATATGAAAAAACACTCGTAACTTACCATATTGAAGTTGTACATGTATAAATGCGGCACTCTCAGGTGACGGTCAGCCCCGCTAACCTTTTTTCGCTTTGCTCGATTTTTCTTGTTGCGATTACTTAAATCACAAACGTTTTCCTTATTGTCTTATTTGTATATTTTCCGTGGCAATAAAAGTTTGCCTTCCATTATGTTTCGTTGTCTGTGACTGTTACAACGGCTGATCACGACGAAGTAAATATGAGCTGAGAGGGGTCGGGTGTTACTGGTTGCTATGGCAACAACTCAGCTTTATTGGCTTGCAGTCGTAGTAACACGCCGTCGACACGCAATCGTGATGTACAATTAAGGTCCAATCCTAAGTATTAATCTTAGAAATCGATGAAAGAACTGAACGCAGAAAATAACTGCGAAGATTGCTCAAGTGTTTGAAAAAAGGACACGCACTTGAACAAAGAGTTAAACGTTTTGAAAGTAGTATTTAAGTTTGACGGCCAAAGGCTGCCCCGTTGGGTAAAAGGCAATGCTTGCCAGTTGCCACCATACAAAACCACTAAAACATGTATACTATAACGGTCTGAAGGGCTCTTGTAAACTTCATCAAATTCATTAGCGTGGAGGGCAGCAAATAAGATAATCATTTCGCCCATGGCAGGGACCTTCTTAGGAGTGAGGTTTCTAATGACAACAATAAACCTCTGTTTGTTGGCAAGTGGTAACGTAAGAATACTGGTAGTCCACTGTACGGTTGTCAAATATTATAAGAGTGACCCTAAGTAGCATTCTTTACCTAAGTAATGTAAAGTTCGGGTAGCGGTGATGGGTCTATTATGGCTTAATCCCACATTATAAAACTTCTTTCGAATCGCGACAGAGATGAACATGATATAGTGTAAATAGCGTATTCAAAAGGCGCCCGCGGCTCACTCACATTTCTACTTGTAAAATAGTAAGTCCATCCATGGAATGTACCGTCGCATTAATTGAACTGCTCCTTACGGGCGGTCACTTTGTTCGCATGTGGCTGATTAAATAAAACTTAAGCGGACGACAGGCCACTCACTGCTATTGACACACCCGTGGGTCAATGACCTTTTAGTCAAATTTCAGAAGTAATTAGCTGGTTGGACACAGTCGTAACAGTCATATGTAAAAATTGCGAAGTAACAAAGTACCTGTTAACTTCATAAATTTTCTTTTACATCGACTTTTTCAAAAAGTGTATAAATTAAAATTATTTACTACATTGTCCGATTCATGAGCTGTTCTTAGGTAAAGACCTAATGTAATACCGATGGGAACACGCGACCCAGAATAAAAAGGCCAAAATTGGTTTATTACTGAACTGAAAGTAGAAGGCTCAAACATTCAAATGACAATCAAATACCTCCCAAAGCAAAGAATGAAAAATTAATTTATTATTAGGTATTTTTACCCAGATGACTAAAGAAACCAAGAAAATAAATTAAAAGCAATAAATCAAAAATTAATTTAGCTACAGTACAAATACAAATGGATAATCAACTGGAATTTAAATGATGCGCTGTAAAACACGTATAATTTCTTCAAACCTGCAACAGGTTGTTTTTCGTTAATTAGGTAACAAATCGTTGAGTATTGTACATGTAGTAGAAGCAAGGAGTTATAGCTCCTTGGTAGAAGGTACAGTTGTTTCTTAACGTGCATAAAAAGTTAACGAATTAAAAAGTATTAAATAATATAATGAATCATCTGACACACTTTTCTGTGTAATCTTCACATCTCTTCAAGAAATGTTCACAATGATCTAAAATAACTTAATTCCTCTGTATTGTTTGAAACACGCTTACGGTGCTGCTCACAAGCCAAATTGGCTTACAACAATCCTTCATCATAAACAGGACCAATAATATTTGAGGCTTTTAAATAGAGATGAAACCAGGTTAACAACTCAAGTCTCTTGACAAGGCATTTTGAAACGAAAAATTCGGTGAGAGCTGTTGTAATCAAAATGAGAAGTTGTTTCCTAATCCAAGCGTTCAGCGAACAATGCCGCAACTTCAGCGTCATTAAGAGTTCTTGCGATGATTTTAATCTGCAATGAAAAGAGAGTACAATGAAAGAGTTAATTCAAAGACAGTATAATTAATACTGAACTCGTTATGCATATTAAACTGAGAGTGCAAAAGACAAACATTTCATGGTTTGGCGACGTAGCTTTTATCCCTGTGTACAAGTATATATATATATATATTGACCTACAAGTATGGGTTTCATTTCTGCAGGCGTGGGTTTTTTATTACCTCACGCCGAAAGCCCTTCTTAAATTTTTTATTAACTGGACACACTACTAATCATTTCACCCTAAGGCAACGGGTATACTTTTTAAAGATATATGCACTTACTTCATCCATGAAGCCAACAAAGTTGCTATCTTCGCACAAGAAGTCACGTCCGAAAATAAGCGGCGTGTTGGTCTTTTTGATTGCACCTAAAATAACAAAATAATAATGTAATTATAGAAATTGTGAGCAAATACATGGAAAACATCGATAATTTTCAAATGCTGTGACGATGGAGCTCATGGCCAATAAATTTCAAAATGAATGAAGAATAGGTGGGACAGCTTAGTTAACGAAAGGTAAAATAATCAAATGTGAAAAACGTTGATACTATTGTGGGAAAGATACAGAGTAAATTGTAAACAGAGAGAGAGACAGAGGGGGTGGGAAGGATTGCAGTGAAAGGAGCGAATGATTAAGTATAAAAAAGAGAGGCAGAACGAAAGAAAAGGCAAACTGAAAAAAAAACACGAGTGAAAGAAAGATTTACCATATGCCTGAACGGCAGGTGTCTGCATTACGCCGTCCATGTAGTAGCGGATATAGGCGCCGTCATAGGTCATCACTGCATGGTGCCACACGTCAAGTGAAGCCTGCCAAATGGAAAAGGTGCGGTGAGAAAAAGGCTTTACATTAAAGTGTATTGAGAAAGCGTATTAATCTCTTTCCACCTGCGACTATTAGTACAATGGCTACATTGTAATTGCCTGCCTTTCATCATTTTCATTAGTGCCAAGTCTTGTTCTGATCTTGAGGTAATATAAAACCACCCATTCAAGGATCGATAAAGAAGAAGAAATGGGTCAAATTTGCATTAATCAGTAAGAGTATTTCTCCACTTCATTATTTTTTTATCTGTTACTTATAACTCAACTTATTATTATTATTATTAATTATCATTTATATCATAATCTTATTTTTCCTTCGATAATACTAAAACGAGTGTCTTGTTTTGCCCTTTACCAGCAGGAAATGAAGATTAATTTGATCTTGATATGAAAATTCAAGATGAATAGTGTGCAGGTAAGATGGGGATTAATTTGTTTCTAAAGCTGCACGCAAAAAGCTACAAGTTATTTTTAACCAAAATTAACCTTACTGAGACGTGCTGGTAGGCCAAGGTGTAGTTCTTGGTGTAAGTAACAAGGCCTGCGCCAGTAGCACCCGATGCGTCTTCTTCGGTTCGGACATCAATTGTACCAGGAACGAAACAATCCCCATTGCTGACCAGACTGCGGCGAACAAGACCGGAATCGGTCTGTCTAAACCACAGACTGATAGTAAAATAGGTGCCAAACTCGTGGGCAGTGAATCGTGGGATTTCGGCATGGCCTTTGCCATTGAAGTACGCAGCGCCCTGGCCACATTGAGTTTTGATGCCGCCAGTCGTAGAAATTGACAGGCCGAGGGAGTCGAGCCATGTTCTTTCTTGTGCTTCGCTGAAGTCCTTGTCAAAGGTGAAGCAAGCGAGGTATTCTTCTCCTGAAAATAAAAATGGGGGATTGTACATATATCCAGGTCAGATATCATCATCATCATCATCATCATCACAGTCTCTCTCTCTCTCTCTCTCTCTCTCTCTCTCTCTCTCTCAGACTATCAGAAACAATCACTAGATAATAATCTATATCTATTTTATATAAATGCTCTTCAAAAAAATACCTTAAACTCGACAGAAAACCCGCGTGCTTACACACAAGAAAATAAGTTACAGGAAATTTCTACAGCACCTCATAATTATTTCAGAAATCAGTACACTCACCGACACACTGTCGCGCACAGACGTTGTCAACTTTTCGGACACATTCACAGAGGTCAATGTTGAACACGTGTCCCTGATGACACTCAAATGGAATGATGCTACCATGCCAGTAGAATGAGTACTTGTGGTCATAAGTGGGATGACTCCATTTTTTCCAGCCAGCGGCGGACACACACTGAACTGAAATAGAAAAGTGCACAGGAGTGATTAATTCCAAGTTTAAATGGTTTCCTAGCTCTTTTTACAAAAGATCTGTCATCTAATTTTGTAAATAATAAACAAAGTTTTTTTTTCACTTGAAAGACAATTCTATTGCCCTGTAAAATTCAACAGCACGACTTCCTAATTTTTTCACTTAAGAGCGGAATTCTTTATTTCCAACGCATTTATTGAACCAATTCAAATACTCTAGTCTTAAATTAAGATCCGTTTATCTTTTAAATGACTTTGGCAGAAAGTATATGCTTACCCCCAAGATCAGGATTGGGTGGCTCGACTGAGCACGTGGATGAACAGAGGGCAGAGGCCGAGCAACTGAACGTGTCTGGGTCATAGCCCTGGCCAGGTGGACAGCAGTGGGGGATCCACTTGTTGTTACTGCATTCGTAGTATTTGGCACAGTTCGCGGAGTCGTACTCGAAGCCGCCGGGACATGGATCTGCGTGATTAGAAATTGCATTTCAATATTACAGTTATCGCAAGGAGAAATAAAAATTGAAATTGAAATTATTGTTTTTCTTTTTATCAAGAGCTTATAAAATATGTGGGTATTACCTCCAATATTTCTGTGACTGTCAGTCACCATCAACATATTTTATAAGATCTTGATAAAAAGAAAAACAATAATTTCAATTGATACATACAGAGCTAATGAAACTGTTCTCTCAAAAATTGAAATGTTATACACGACATTAATTGACTTGTTGAAAAAAGATGAAAGACGATTTTTAAAATGGTGTTTCTGTTTTTGTTGTTGTTGATTATTTCTGTTGTCAAATTGCAATACCACGGACTACAAAATTAAAAAAAATAATAATAAAATACAAAAACCTAGGATAAAATAAATGAAAAAAGTGCCTTCTCTATTCCAGAAATTATACAACAAAGATCTATGGAATCAAAATATATGTTTTCTCACCAATGTTGTCACAGTTTGGTGGGCCTGGCTGTCGCACGTATCTACACTTCGCCTCTTCGCAAAACACGCACGTGAGCTTCTCCTGGTCCCAGAACAGTCCTCGTGGGCAACGCTTGTGGTAAGAAACCGTTTTCCCACCGATTCTGTAGCAGTGATAGAATTTAGAGCAGTCTTCAGGATCCCAGTAATGGCCCGGTCCGTTACGACGGTCAATGCACATGTCACAGTAACTCACTGAATGATGAGGAAATGATGACATTTTAAAACACGTTATCTTGAAGCATATTTGTCTTGTGCTGTCTTCGTTTTTACGCGTATCTTAATTTGAAGGAAGTGTATTACTAGTTCGTATTCTAAACAGAATTATTCCACCTTTCCTGGAAATTATTGTGTTCTTTATTCTATTTTGAAAAACCACTGGTATTGATTTCTTAGGTGTTCTATGTAATATCGAGGATGTAACGTTATAATACGATGTTTTTTAGATTGATCACTGCATTATGTTGTAACCATCTCATCACTTTAGGATTACTATTGAAAATTCATGTGGATTGCTAACAATCTGTTAATAAAAATACGGCCGTAAAATTAACCCTGTTGTAATAATATGATATAATATAATATAATATAATATAATATAATATAATATACGTGTACCATCACCTATCAAGCCATACACAGTTAGTGTTTGTTTCCCCCACGGCCTCGTACATCATCTGTTATCTTAATGGTTAGATAGCGTGCAACTGTTCCTGTCAGGTTAAAAAAATGAAACAAAGCCGGCTTAATATTTCCAGATATGAGATATTACTTAAATCCAATATGTAAAAAGTTAGAAGGTCGTTTGGTTAATAAAAAAGACCATGAATGGAGCGGAAAATTAATACATAACATTCTTTTATGTATCCTGAAAATTGAACAAAATCAGTTCGCCTTTCAAAAGTACACCATAATGCTCATTCGGAGCTGACATCAACAAGGCGTCCTTGGTAGAGGTGAAACTCTGAAATTAGTCATAGTGAAAAATGACACCGATCCAAGGACAAGGGTCATACGTGCCACCTTGGGGCATCTGTCAGGAAGATATTCAACAAGATCAATGTGATGAAACAGTCCTAAAAGACTTCGACTGTTGCGTTAAACCATTCGTCCGTTGTGTCTTGCACACATACCGCACTCGAGGCTCTTAAGTATAGCTTTTTGCTTACAAGTCATTGTTACAAAAAACCAATGAGGTATGTATGTATTACCCTTTGATAACAGGAGTTTCTAACATTTCCCTGTAGCCCTGGTAGTAATTTGTAGGTAGGCAGGTTGGCAAAAAAAAAGGACACTGTAAAAGCACTGGGAATCACATATTCTGGGTGATACGGGTTGTACATATTAAATCTACGTTGTTGGTTCACAAAAACAGAGGAACAGAAGCTAGTTGGTTTGAATGGCTGGTTTTAAAAAGCGTTCGGGATGCTTTCAATGACGGTGTATATTGGTAATTTTGATTAAACTACAAATTCTTCAGATAGGGTTCCAGACAAAGTAGATCCCCCCCCCCCCCCCGAAACGTCCCGTTCGCGCGGGGGGGGGGGGGGGTCTCTTTTTGGAAGGAGTAGGTTTGGGGTTAATTAAAATCTCTTACCTTCTGACCCTGTTGTAATAATTGTTATGTTCTCGTTTGCATCTTCTTGGCCTAGTATTACCAAAATATCGTTTAAGCATATGATCCTGTTTTTTTTTCAATTTATTTAAATTAGAGTGAAATCACATATCATTATCTTCCACTTAAGTGAAAAATATCGACCAGCATTTCAAACGAAAATGATATAAATATATCATAATATGATAAAGACATTAGATTGTTTTAACAATTTTAAACATTCCAATGGCGTCTCACAGCACAATCACACCACTCGTTACATATTTTCACATATTTCTCATTCACAGCATATTTGCAGCATACACTAAGATGTCATCAATGAACGCTAAGTTATCTTTGTCGCTTGTTAACGTTACGATTGGTAAGCGTATAGGGCTACCAATCGAATCAGTCCAATCTGAAAAATTCAAAATCAAGCTTTCATCATTTCCACCAAAACATGGCAAACCATACATGATAAAAACAATGTTTTATGCAGTAACGACTAAAGAAATCGTTACGGTTAGTAAAAGACCTAGCCAAAACCAATGTACAGTTGGTTCTCACATGCAATTACCAATAAATATCCAGACCATATAAAATGCATCATCAACTTATTTCAAATATGTTATCTCGATATAGATATAGAAACCAACAGCCTTAACAGATAATCGAAATAACCAAACCCCACCATTGCCATACCCTTTAAAACATGCTTTCACATTACTACCACGATCACATTATGTTATTTCATACAAAGGACATGTTTTACGAACCAGCGTCGCAAGACTGAGAATTGCATGTGCTCTGTTCTTCAGTTGGTCCATCACAGAGATCTCTGCCTCCCACAGATGGCGTTGGACAAATGCAATTACGGGTCCTGGATCTGATTCCGCCATTACACGTGGCACTGCATGTCGTCCAAGCGCTCCAGTCAGACCAGCACTCTGAAACGATTTTTTAAATAAATTTTCAAATGCACAATCAATTATGGTTAGGATTACTGTTAAATGACAACCATTATTATTAGGTTTTAAGGTTATTGCATTGACTCTGATTAAAACAAGCCTTGAAGATTATGTTTTTTTCGTTTCCCCAAGGATAATCCGTGTTTTGACCAAAACGAACAGTTGTTAGCACTATAAGTATGAACATTATTGACCATACTTTTGTTATAATCTCCACAATCCACGGCGTTGCACGAGTTGTCAACTTGCATGAAGTCTGCATCAGAACACTGGCGTCCACCACACTTAGCCTCATAGCAGAGTCTGCTTCTGGATCTACTGCCGCCTCCACATGTGGCGGAACATGGCGTCCAGGCCTCCCAGGCGCCACACGTGCAGTCCTCTGAATAAAAAATTCAAGATGCTTCACATACGTATTTTGTGTATGCCACTTACTTCCACATCGGAATATGTTTAAATCTGTACTTTAAATGACTGTGGTGTTTTATAAAGTGTGCCGGAGATTAAAACTGACACATTATCTTAATTATCTTTCTGCAATATCTTGCCATAAAGGCCCTAAATCACACGACAAGAACATTTCACATCTCAGCAACACAAATGAAAATAAAACATACGAGGACAGCAACCCGAATTGCATGCTCTGGATTCAGAATAGTCCGATGCGCCACAAAGGCGTCCGCCGTTCGTTCCGTCCTGACAGCTTCTTGATCTAGCCTGTATTCCACCACCGCACGACACGCTACATGTGGACCACTGGCTCCATGCTTCACATGTACATGGCACTAGAGAAGGATAATGGTGAGGTTATAAAAATGGGTTACTTTATAGAGTTCTCGTGCACGAGTTCTCGTTTACTATTTCATGATTTTCTTTTTGTTGTTGTGTTTGTAAGTAACATGATAAAAATACGTAATTAATCATCTAATTGAGGGTTCTATAATCCTTGGAACCTTGCCAGTTTAAAATCATTAAACGTGTATCCACTTGCCTCACTCAAAAATAACAATAATGATAATAAATACGCGCTTTATATATAATAACTTGTTGGGTGTTTGAAATTCTCGTTATATTTCATTAATCTTCGATTAGTCTTTCACTCTTCAATAAGCTGTATCGTGTAAAACTATAGACTCACCAGCGCATGGGACGTTATTGACGCAGGCCCTTTCTTGTTTATAGTCGGTTGGTAGACAAAGTTTTCCTCCATACAACCCATCTTGACAAGAACGTGTTCTGGTTTCAACGCCGCCTGGACCGCAAGAAGCGCTGCATTTGGACCATGGTGTCCAGTCGTTACAGGTACAGTCAACTAGAGAATAATGATCAAGAAACCATTGGTTTTTACGTCCACTCAACATCTATGTTATTTCCCATGATTGTATTTTTTGTAATGTTTTCATTAAAAACTGTCGAGATCTTTCGACGCCTTTATCAATCATATAAAACGACGATCCAAATAAATGGAGATTTCGACCGATGAAAGAATCGACTTGAAAGTTTGCCCATGCTTATGATATATTACATTATTTCTTAACAACATTTGCGCCCCAAGCTACATTTGCGGATTCCGTGATTTCGCAAGGTGTTTAAATGATCTCTCAAAAATGGTCTTATGCTATAAACGTTTTATCATCACAAAACTTACTAGCACAGGGCACGGTGTTCAGGCAAACCCTGGTTTCCTTGTAATCGCTAGGCAGACAAAGTTTTCCACCGTACAGACCATCCTGACACGAACGCGTTCTTGTTTCTACACCGCCTGGCCCACAGGAGGCGCTGCAGGTCGACCACGGCGCCCAATCGTTACATGTACAGTCAACTGAAAAAGAGTGAAATAATGTTTTAAAGTTTACAGTAATAAAGTCACTGTTGTACACAGTTTTGGGTCGACCCTCCTGACTTTGATCTACAGTTTTCAAAACCCAAAGTTACCTTCTTCTAGTTTTTATTTTAATACAATTGCGTTCCCCATTCAATAGACCAAGTTTTTTTTTTCAATCTGGCATACATGTAAACTAGTAGGCCTACGTGTATCTCCAAAGGCCTAAAGACAATTAAAACCCAGCAGCACTGGCGGTTTCTACTCACCAGCGCATGGGACGTTATTGACACAAGTTCTCTCTTGTTTATAGTCGGTTGGTAGGCAAAGTTTTCCTCCATACAATCCGTCTTGACAAGAGCGTGTTCTAGTTTCTACGCCGCCTGGACCACAAGAGGCGCTACAAGTCGACCATGGAGTCCAATCACCACACTTACAGTCAACTGAAATTATGACAAAAGAAACAGTCAGTTTTCGTTCCTGTTATATGGCAACATTCCATGTGGTCATAAAAGCCTACTGGTACAATATTCCCTTCCTTCCTTCGGTACTTGTTGTAAAATGCTGCAGGTTATTATAGACCTTACCTGCGTATGACCACTTGCATATCTGAATCGAAGATCATGGGCACTACACGATATAATACACTGTTTCAGATACGCTCTTTTTACTCACCAGCGCATGGGACGCTAAGGATGCAGGCTCTTTCTTCTTTATAGTCAGTTGGTAGGCAAAGTCTACCCCCATAGAGTCCATCTTGACAAGAGCGCGTTCTGGTTACTACGCCACCGGGCCCACAAGAAACGCTGCACTTAGACCACGGAGCCCAATCACCACACTTACAGTCAACTGAAAATATTACAAAAAACTTTCAGTGTTCGCTCCTTATCAAATGACAACATTCAATATTGCCCTATAAACCTACTGGTACAATACTCGATTGCATCTCTGGCCGCTTCTACTCACCAGCACATGGGACGTTATTGACGCAGGCTCTCTCTTGTTTATAGTCGGTTGGTAGGCAAAGTTTTCCTCCGTACAATCCGTCTTGACAAGAACGCGTTCTGGTTTCTACGCCGCCTGGTCCGCAAGAAGCGCTGCATTTGGACCATGGAGTCCAATCACCGCACTTACAGTCAACTGAAAATATGGCCAAAGAAATTGTCACTGTACGCTCTTGTTTAATGACAACATTATGTATGGCCATATAGGCCTTCTGGTGCAATACTCGTCCCTTCTCGCCCTAGTTGTAAAGCAGTGTACATACTCCACCTTCGTATGACTATTAACATTTCTGAATTTGAAAAAAAGGGTATTCAGTGATATAATATATCATTTAGGATATGATCTTTTAACTCACCAGCGCATGGGACGTTATTGACGCAGGCTCTCTGTTCTTTGTAGTCAGTTGGTAGGCAAAGTCTTCCCCCATAAAGTCCATCTTGACAAGAGCGTGTTCTGGTTTCTACGCCGCCTGGTCCGCAAGAAGCGCTGCACTTAGACCATGGAGTCCAGTCGTTACAGGTACAGTCAACTAGAAAAGATAAATTAAATAAATAAAAAATTTTTTCCATTAGTCATTTCAGTTAAAATTCAGTTTTCATATTTCCATTTAAACATTTATAAAGATTTGAATGCGGTAAATTGTTGTAATTGGACAAGGAATAAAGCTGAATTTTTAAGGGTTTCTATAAACAGAGTGCAACTGTGTGACTTCGTTCTAACCTAGATCTTAAGACTTACTTAACTGTAACTTCTAAATAAAAATGTTAGCGTCATATCGATTTCATACTGCTACATTTTGAGGTCCAGATCATTAAAATGATAATATCACACGTACTAGCACAAGGGACGTTGTTGACACATTCTCTGGTTTGCTTGTAATCACTTGGCTGGCACTGTCTTCCTCCGAACGCTCCTCCTTGGCATGTACGAGTTCTGGTCTCTACACCGCCTGGCCCACAGGAGGCGCTGCAGGTCGACCACGGTGCCCAATCGTTACATGTACAGTCAACTTGAAAATAAGAAAAATAATATAAAGATAAGCGATCTAGACGTAAATAAAAACTTTAAAATAAAAATAAAATAAAAATAAAAAAATCCCGTGACATGATAAGATGAAGGGGTATGTACCAGGTCATCACCCCCAATATACATGTATTTTGATATTTGTACACTGGCTGTAAAATAATTTCACCCAAAGCTGCTACATGTAGAAAACATTTCTATTAGGAATTGGATAAGGATCTACCACCAACAAATACGGTTGTAAAACTGTTTGTTATAGAGCTTAATTATATAAATAAGGGGAATAAATAAAGTAAAACACCTGTCACATGTCAAAATCAACCGCTTACCTGGACAAGGCACGTTGTTAATACAGGCTCTGGACTCTTCATAATCCGAGGCCTGACAAAGCCTGCCGCCGTACTGGCCGTCTGTGCATGAGCGAGTTCTTAGCTGTACGCCTCCTGGGCCGCAGGAAGCACTGCAGGCGTTCCACGGGTTCCAATCGCCACATTTGCAGTCAACTGTGAAGGTTTTAAAAATATTTGAATTCACCATTTTTTTGATTTTCGGACGTGCGTAAAATGTTGGATTAATATATGTACAGTTGTATCTCAAACTGTATACGTATATCACAGCACTGGCATTATTTTTGTTCTAGAGAATCGATACATTTATGTTATTTAATATGGCAAAAAGTTAATATTGATAAATATTATTTAGTCTAGATCGTATTTTTGGAAACTAACTCAATGAAAAAGATACTCTTAAATGTCGATTTAAACTTTCACACATACATTTTATTATGACGCAATTTGATGCTCGCTAAACACGAAAGTCAGTAATATGCCATTTCAGTTATGCTATGCTCAATACAGGGATCCCCTATATAAAAATTATGGGAAATATTTTATAATGAATTACAATCTTTTCTTTAAACCGCTGTAACGAGAACACTAAACGCGTTCAATTTTAACAAAACCTATACCCAGAGACCTACAGGCGGTGATAAAGACACGGTAGCTGCCATGTTGGTAAATAAATATTAATTTATGTTTTACATTTTGCACAAACAATGCATATGTAAAGGAAAGGGGGTATACATATCAGCAGGGTGTGGGTATGCACAAAGGATGCATTACACGTAAACTGTACCAATATTCATGGTACCCATCTACCTACCTGGACATACTTTGGTATTACAAATATCTGTCTGTTGATAGTCACTGGAAACGCATGGCCTGCCGCCATACTGACCTTCAGTGCACGTGCGTGATCTTACCCGTAGCCCTCCCCCACAAGACACGGAACACTGAGACCAGGCAGCCCAAATGCCACATGTACACGGGACTGTGGGGTGAAAACAACAAGACAAACACAAAGAAAGTTAGGACACAAGGAAAATGACAAGGAGCTGGTGTCTAAATGCTGAGCCTCCACCAACACGGCTAATGGTACCAGTAGTTTAAGTCAAATGTGAGCTTGTAGGGCCTACCAATACGACTGCTGGTAACATAAGACGTTGGCAGAGATTTAACTATCTCACAGAACTTAGACTTAAATAAGACACTAAGAATATAACCAAAACGAAGAGGGGTCTTTTCTTATAATGGCACAAGTCGCAATTAACAATTAAAGTGCACGAACACAGTGATGTATATACGGGTAAAAACGACAAAGCACTAGTATACAGACATTTAAAAGTAGACAAAAAATGGAAATAGCACGCACAAATACAATACTGTAGAAACGCCTCATTTAACGAACGATAAAAAGGGAAAAAGGGCAAATAAATACGTAAATATATAATACCCACCGGGACATGGAAACCTGCCGCACGGCTGCGTAATCTGATAATCACTAGGGATGCAGGTATCTCCCGTGCAGACACGCGTTTTAGTACGTGTACCGCCCACGCCACAAGACATGGAACACTGAGTCCACGAACTCCATACACCACAAGTACAGGGGACTGTAAAACGTAAACAGTTGGAATGCCGTTCACCACGGTACTTTACAGACAGAGGAATAAAATCCACACACAAAAGTTCAGATAAAAATAACGGGAACAAAAAACATAACGGATACAGGTTTGTTTGGCAATGTTCCTGTTTAGTAGCTTTAACTGTTAAAACAGTTGAACATGACGATTAGTGAACCCGTAGGTTTTACAAAGAGCTTGACACGGTTGTAAGAACTTACAGTAAGCACGAACAAGAAAACCTTACAGAACAAAATGGTAAATGGTACAATTATCACACACTAGTAACAAAGCACAGGGCAATAACAGAAAACGTGGAGTCCTTTTTTTATAAAAAACAATAAACTGCCACTGGGTATCACGTTCATGCATTAGGCCTACTTACCCGTACAGCTTTGAGAATTGCACTGTCTCGTCTCCTGGTAGTCTTCTATCGTGCATTTTCGTCCTCCGAAAATGCCGTCGGTGCAAGAACGCCTTCGAGTCTGTTCTCCTCCACCACAAGATGCACTACACTGTTCCCACTCACCCCATTCTTGACAACTACAGCCAACTAGTACCAAAAGTACGGGACAATGAGGCACAGCACAATATATCACACGCAGAAAGTTTGAACACAGTATTTTAAATTAACCCCATGAGTACCATGGAGAAGGTAACTTTTTTATTTATCATGTTTTTATCCTCAAGAAATAAAGTTTAACTACTACTACTTCAACAACTACTACATACATGTATAATTCCACTTTGAACGTACGGAAACACGTATGCTATCTATACAATGTACCATGTATGTACATGTACATGTGTATAATATAAAAACACATTTAAAAAGTTGTCTGTAGTATAAAAACTACCAGCACTTAGATGAGTTTTTTAATTTTGGAAAATGCCTCAGGTCTTGTTGTTCAAAAGTCAAAACTGTAAAAATGTTGCAATGAAATGATATGAAAAAATGATAAAAAGAAATGTATAATAAGTCAAAATATCAATAAAGATAACACATGCAAATGCAATTTTTCCAATACATGAAAATTTTGAACAAAGAAAAAGTGGGTGCATATTGAATACAATAAGAGAATGTGACACAAGAGATAATAATTTTCATGCATATATAAAAACATAATGTATAAGAAGCAAAAAAAGCATCCATTCAGTACAGAGCGGTGGACTGCAGCTTGTGAACTGTTGGGCTTTTGCGTATTCCCATCGTCTTTTAAACTTAGTTTTCAAGCAAATATAACAAGATAGGTTTAAAAGGCAATCCCGAATTCTTTTCACCCCCAGACTGGCGGTACAAGAAAAAAATAGAACAAACAAAAATCACAAATCGTTCGGAAAAGGAAATTAATTCAGCTTAGCACCAGAATTTTTATGGGAGGTGGGGTGGTGGCAAAATAAAAACCAGAGCCCATGACTTAACTATACATATACCTGGGCATCCGTATACATTGCACAATCTGTTTTCCTGATAATCAGATGGCGTGCACGGCCTTCCACCGTTGATTCCGTCAGTGCACGAGCGTTTTCGCACCTGCTGGCCTCCTCCACAGGTGGCGCTACAAGTGCCCCATGCTGCCCATGTTTCACACTGACATGGAACTGTATAGTATGTATATACACTGTATATATGGTGCATTTGCACGTAAATGTTTGATGTAGGGACATTTCAATCGAACACAATTGGCCTATTTCTGAAGAATTTTTCATTTCATTTTAACAAAATAAGCGAGCCTATGCTATGGAAACAAAATCTATACTAGTACATGGAAATAGCGTGCCCCAGTACCAAAAAAAGAACAAAAAGATACCATGCTTAGAAAATAAAGAAACGCACATATACAATTAAGAAAGTATTTTCAAAAGCTTATATATATATATATATATATATATATATATATATATATATATATATATATATATATCCACTGATATAACTTTTCTCAAACAATATGTATACTGAATATACGAATACACACCATGCAACGTACTGGTAGAGTAGAATAAACATTACTTCACACAATTTACATGCAAGTCACTGATATAACTTTTCTCAAACAATATGTATACTGAATATACGAATACACACCATGCAACGTACTGGTAGAGTAGAATAAACATTACTTCACACAATTTACATGCAAGTCAAAAAGGCACTCAATCGATATATGCACAATTTGCTAACATAGAATCCGTATAGTACAGAACTTACTTGGACAGCCATATGAATTACATATCTCAGTCTGTTCGTAATCACTCCTCACACACTGCCGGCCACCATACAGGCCGTCCGTGCATGACCTTGACCGCGTCCTTGACCCGCCACCGCAGGACACAGAACACTGAGACCAAACACCCCAGGTCTCCTCACACGTACACGGTACTGAACAAAAACAATAAATGGTTATTCTTAGTGAGAAAATTTGTTTCGAACTTTAAAAAATTCACATGTGAATGTCCATAGAAAAATACTAGTTTACAATGGGTTAATTCAATTTTCATGACGACGACAGACAGATGGATGTTAAACGAAAACTTTTGTCAGTACACAAAAAGGTCCAGTACACTATATTACTATTCAACCCTGAATTAACAGTTAATTAGATAAGAAACATATATTTAAAACCTTTTTGCGAAGAAAAACATTAAAACTACACCACAAATCATTTCACAGTATATCAGATAGACCCAATCTGATAACGTCTAGGCCGTTATAAGATTCGGTCTATCTGAGTCTCGTGTGAACGGGCCCTCACACCTACTGGGACATTCCTGAACGTAACACGGTTGGCTCATTTCGTAATCAGTCGCTAGGCAACCGTTCCCAGTGCAACTTCGTATCCTGGTCTGAAGACCGCCACTGCCGCAGGAGGCCGAACACTGGCCCCAAGCTGACCATGTGTCACAGACGCAGGGTGCTAGTAAAGAATGACGGAAGAGACATCTACCAATCTACTTTATCCTGTAGTATATCTACGTCACAAGAAAACCCCATTTGGAACATCTTTTTAATAGTTTTGTCCACCAAATTAAAATTCCAAAAAATTAAAAAATTCCACTTTTCTTGCGAAGGGGTTAGGCATCATGGGTTGAATTACTAAATCCGAAGTTAAAAAAACTCTTTGTTCCAAATGGTATCTTCTTTCCACAGACAGCTATCTTGTTATTTCTACCAACTAAAGTTACCTAATTATTAGAAACCCGATGGATTCCCTTTACAAAAATATTAGTATTAGGGCCTAGACAACAACTAATTTAGATTTATGGACCCCGTAGAAGTTTGTGTGTAAAAAAAGAGCATAAATATTGCAAGATCTATTTCCCTACCTTTGTGTGCATGCAAAAAGAAATAGATGCTTACCTTTTTTCACATTAAATTTTCCTCAAGATCCCGTCTTTTCTTGTCTCTCAGTCAGCCATGCAGACCTAGTATGTATCAGCAAACATGCCATACGCATGCAACATATTAATGAGGCATATATGCCAATACGTTTGCTAGCGTGCCTAAATATAGTGAATGTTAGCGACAAAGACAACATCAGTAGCAAAATAAGACATTAACAGACATCTCGTGCACCACACACAGACACACAAGCAATCAACACCACTTCGCATCACACTATCAACAGCCGCCATCATTTGGAACTGCAGTGCATTCAGTAAGCTGCAGCACGGTAGAGCAATGGGCTACTGATCCACGTTGGGTTGTGTGAAAACCCTTAAAATAAAGTGGCAGCACTGCAGCTTGTGGATATCAAAACTGTAGCTTACACATTGGCAGTTGACAGGCCTCTTGCTGGTATCTGTCGCTGTCCGTGCACATTCGTCCGCCGTGCATCCCCTCTGTGCAGTGTCTGGTTCTGTTGCGGACGCCGTTGCCGCACCTGGCGCTGCAGTCGCCCCAGTTGTCAGCCCACTCTTCACACGTACAGTCAACTGATGCGGACAAAACGAATACAAGACATAAACAAAGACATCAACTGTGAACCCATGCAGAAGACAATTTACCAACAAATAACATAAAAACATTATAATATTGAACAATATTCACGACACAATAGGTAGAGAGACTAGAGAGATACATTCAATAAACATAAAAAATGCGACAACACAAATAAAATTATTCTGCTACATGCAGTATATTTTGACAGATAAAACAGAAACATTGATGGACATACAGGCTGTGGCTGCAACATGCACTTTGTAACAATGGTATAGACAGAGAATATATGAGACATGCTCATGCACATATATTATATGATACACATAATACATGCATCCTACCTGTCAAATTCTGCAGCATTCTCAATTACAAATAACTTTCATACTCACCTGACCACTCTGTTTAAGAATCTATTCTAAATGCTTCCATCTAGAGGTCAGTATTTTCTCATCCCTGCCAACAGCTCTTAATAAGGGTCTTTATAATCTTGATACCGATTTCTTTAATGGACCACTAGTCTCTAAACTGCGTCTATAATCCTTAAACCGCCAGGTTAACTGGGTTCAACTATTTCTAACCCAGGTTAATAATTATTGAATCACTTACCTGGACATTCGTGTGTGTTGCACGGTTTTATTTCAAAGCATGGTCCCTCACAATCTTTGCCTCCATTAAGAGGAGCGGGGCTGTTGCAGAATCGTTGACGAACTGTTTCACCGCCGCCGCATGTTTTAGAACAGCACATCCAGTCCGTCCATTCGCTCCAGCCTCCGTCAACTGAAAGTATCATGTAACAAACAAAATAATTCAAAAGAAAATCTAAAACGGACGTTGGATAGATGATTAATTAATTTATTTATGAATTTATCTGTATATATTTATTTATTTATTTATTTATTTTTGCCATCAATCTGTTCATTCACCTATTCGCTCGGATCGCTTCTTCATTCGTTTATTTAAAAAAAGCAATTGCACCGTGATTAAGAAGCTTGTGTTTCACCTTCTGAGGTGGTGATAAAGAAAAATAGGAGCCCGTACCATCTTGATGGAGTGACAGCACGCACCTTTTATCTGAGGAATTCATTAAACCACTGATGCGATAAAAAGGTGAGACATATAACAACCTGATTTAGGAAATATCCGACCAATAGATGGCAGCCTTAGAAAATGTCCTCGAGAAACACAATGTTGCTATGCCACGACACGCGTTTCCCAATACAGAAAGTGTCTTGAAATTTACTTTTCGTGTCTTTTTCGCATCTGTTAATCATTAATCAACTGAGTCATCTGGCGGCACGTGTCATTCATACGTTAAAGCAGCAAGGTAACTTACAGATATGATGTAAAATGGGGACATTGCATGGGACGAACAAATACTGTAATATGCGCAATGCTAATATTTTGGTAGAATATTCGCCAACAAACTATAAATATGTTGGTATTATTTGTATGAAGAAGATGCCCTCATAAGAGACCAGTTATCAAGAACATCTCATTGTGATGTAGTTGAAATAAAACAGTTAAAAGTGTCGCAAATAAGGGTACGTTAAATTTTATATACGTCTTTATTTGTAGACGACTTCATTCTATCAAACAAAAAACAAATTTTTTAAAACTTCAAACAACAGCGTCTTGTCCAATTGGACATTTTACATCTACTAAAGAATTAATTACACAAAATACACCCAAGGAAGTAAAACCAAGACGAATGACACAAAGACAAGATTCTCCAAGCGGTCGTTTTTTATCCTGACAGTCCGCCCGGCCATCCCTATACATTCACCCTGACTCAGCTGAGAAACACCACTCATGTTTTAAATCAAATGGAGGGAAACATGGACGTCTTGAAAACCAAAACTCATAACTACAATCCAAATACGTAATTTAAAAACTCCCATCATTGTGCAACCAAATTTTGCAACTTAGACACTCCCAGCAATGAATTTCCAAATAAGTTCCGTTTCTCATTTTGGATTAACTGCGCGTCGGTCCCGAGACCTTGATTTCTCACCCTGCTATTCAACCTAAACCTCAGTCAAACCAATGACCTACAGAACATGTTTCTTTACCACTGGTCAGATAAACTGGTGGCCTGAGTTAAACCTAATCGAAAATGACTGTCTGAATTATATGGGATAAAACTTAATTTGTAGGGGTATTACACTATTAAATTTTGCTAACAGAAGTATGATAAGGCATCGTCTCAGATTATATACGTGCATGCGGTAGCAATGGTATGAATTTTCAAAAGCAACAGGCTGACAAGCGACTAAGGAACGCGAGTAAAGAAAGGGTGGAAAACAAGTTTGGGGAACATAGTAAACACAGCCATTGATACCAGCACATAAAACAGATAATTTCAGTACTGATCCAAAAGTATAAAACTAATGAATTCTTGAGAGAGGGAGGGAGAGAGGGAGGGTAAGAGAAAGAGAGAGAGAGAGAGAGAGAGAGACGTAGGGAAAGAGAGAGGAAGGAAGAGAGAGAAAGAGAGAGCAATGTGGTATAGAAAATTAATGAGAAAATCCATTGATAATCTGCCTTTCAGCAGGGACAAAGCTGAATTCGCAGCGCGTGCTTTCATCTACCACATTGCGGCTACATTTGAGATGGTCAGACATGATATCATCTACCAAAATTTATGGTTTCATGTTTGACAAGACCACCAAACTTCCAGTAACAAGAAGTTAACGTGATGGTTTATATAAAGACGACAAGATATGAAGCAGGCGATTGTTTTTACGCGTGTTTGTATCTGTAGAGCCTTTGAACAAATAACATTTCCTTTTGTGCTGCTTTTCTGTTTGTTGGATTTAGTTTATCCATTTCCTTGAAAGATAGGGTCGCTTTTGACGACAAAAGGATGTATTTAGAAATGAATCTAAGATCATCATCTAAGAAAATATGTACTTGTTGAGCGAATGTGAAAGACAATGGCACAAATACAGGTAGTGGAATACACCGTTGCCTTACACATTTTTACATGTACCTTGTCCAAAACTGCAACGAACACCATCGACCTTTGAATTTTATCACAAGCATACAGGTACTGTATATGAGTATCTATGAATAGTTTTCGTGCAACGATAAATTTAGAGGAATTACATTATTTTTCAATGTAAAATCCTTGGTATCTTTTGATCAAAATAATCCTCATTCTCTTTTTTATATAATACAAACTCCATTATAAACACATTATAAACGTAAAGATAAATATAGCATAAATATATCACCAATCATACTTGAAGGTTACCTAAGACATTCTCGACAAAAATCATTGACCTGGTTCCAAAAACCATCATTTCCATTTTTCAATTATTAGTATAATGCACATGCAAGTCTTTTTTTTTATTTTTTATTTTTATTTATTTATTTTTATTTTTTTTTTTTTTTTTGTGGCGAGGGTAGCGCAAAGGGAGGGGGGAGGGCTGGGGCGGAGGCAGGGGCAGTGTAGATCAACTTACCGGGACAAGGGCCGTCGTTGCAGTTCCGGACTTCGAAGCAAGGGCCGTCACATTCAGAGCCTAGACATTCTCGTGTTCGAACGGACTTTCCGTCCCCACATGTGGCACTGCAGCAAGACCACTCCGTCCATGGTCCGAACCCTACAATTAGATGAAAATTGAAATAATATTTTTTGATTTTTTAATGTGATTGATACTGGCGTAAACCCTAAATTGATCAGGTAACACATTATCGCAGCCAGGCATACAAGTATGCCAAACTCCAGGTTATTTTAACCTCCGTTTAGTGGTAAAAATGTGCCCATATGCCTCATTGGAACCCCTATTTGTTAATGTAATGAGCATAGACAGTGTTGAAATATGTACCTGACATATTAATGTTCAATATATACAAAGCATTAAGTAAGCATACTAGACAAATACTGATATATCTTGATGCCCCCTTAAAATACAGATCGCTTAAGTGTGTCTAAAAATAAGGTATAAGAATATCGACAAATTCCGGAAAAAATGAATAAGCTTACCTGCATCTGTGTACTGTGCTTGAGAATATCCCAGAAATGCTACCAGTACGAGGCAGACCAACTTGTTCATGACTTGGTACGCTGGAATTCAAAGGCACACAATATAGTTTTTTTGTAATCTCTGGTTATCAGGTATATGACACGGCTTTTACTTGGCACAGCCGACCTTTTCCTTTATAACTGTGCTGTATATAGTCAAGCCGATGTTTTCTTAAAGCTGAGGCAGCTAGTCCTTCTTTGGCAGCTAGTTCTTCTTTCCTCGTTGTGAAAAGAAAGACAGATTCAAGCTATTTATCTTGTCCGTAGGTTCGACTTGACGTCATGGTTATAGAAAACTATTTGAATAGAACCATGAGTAATAAAAGCCTATTATATCTTTATGGTATTTAATTCCTCTTATTCGCATCTCATTAAGAAGGCAGTGACAAATTATTTGAAAAATAGACGGAAAGCTACTTCGTAATGGCATTAAATTCCTTTTGATCCTTTCTGCTGGCCTATAGGTGAGAGGAAAAGCGGTGTGACGTTTTATAATGTAATGAAATATTTATATATTTAAAAAAAACTGGCTTAATATTGAAAAAAGATTCAACAAAGTAAGATATTTTTTTAAAAAATGGATGTTACATGGCCATGGTTGTTAATCCCCTTGAAAGCATTTCTTTTAAAAGAAAGTGACAAGTTGAAATAGTAAACATAAATTGAATATTCACCACTTCTGTGATATGATATATGTGAGTGGATACTGCGAATTAGCAATGCTCATCCTCTTGAGTTGAGTGCTAAATGTAAAAAGATGTAAACAAGTCATGATTTATTTTCTTTTTCGTAGTTCTCCCTAAAACATTCCCTGTTTGGCAATAATTCCATAACCACAAATATTACATTTTCCTAACATTTTCCATCAATTTAATTAAAACGCATTTTCCTCGTCGAAGCGCTTGAATTATGAAAGCAAAAAAAGATTACTATAAAAATGCAGGAATGCTCCTGATTAATGGGAGAGTAATGGTCTTAGAATGCGAGTTCATAAATTTATTCTGACAGTTGGCAAATAGCAAGGCGGAATATATTTTGAGATACAGCGTCCTCTAAAGACCCAATATTTCGGGCCAGATATTGCATCAAAAGGCTTGTCAAGACTGTACCGGCACAATCTCCCTCTTTTCATCCAAATACCACGGATTATACCTTACGTTGCTAGGAAAAAAGTTAGGTCTTTTTGTTGACTTTTCACTTCTTTTCAGGCGATCGACCTTATCAGACAAAAGTCGAAATTGATTAATGACTGCTCATCCCACTCGTCGCGTAAGTACACAATACTTAAAATAAAGGCCTAGATAAGTTGAATAAAAGTCTTTTTTATTATGGACACCCTTCTGACGACATGTCCCGATGAAGTCCAGTTTCTGTTGAAAAATGGACAGTTCGCACGACATTTGTCAAAACCATGACAAATTTCACTGAAATTATTTTTCAAGTTTGATTCATGATATTTGCCGGACAATCGGTCAGGGCGGGAGAAAGAGAAGTATATCTTTACTGCTTTAATGGACATTAATAATGGCCAGTAATGTCTATTGAACAGGACTCACACTCAATTTTATAATGATGATAGAGTCGAACAGTGGTGACGTTGTTAAAAAAGATATCTACCTACAGGAAAAACATATTATCTTTGCGCCATTAGCTGGCAGTAACCGGTAAGCAACTTCTTCTTTGGGCTTGGTGGAGATTTATGAAAATACAGTACAATAAACTGTCTATTTTTTTCATTGGTTTGAACGTGTCTTCGAGTCATTTTTTACAACTGAGTGTTATTGTTGAAATCTCTTTCACACCGCTCAGTTTGTTCCCTCTCAAACGTGACCTGGCTAACAATAAATTAAGGAAAACTATTAAGTTGTTGTTAAAATTCTCATTATCAAAACATATTAGTCTGAACATCTCAAGAATTTCCTATAGCAACAAAAGTTGCATTTGGCCGCATGTAGGACACAGCGCTTGGATCAAGATCGCCAAAAACCCTGTTTTCCAGCACGTGAAAATCCCACAGGCGAAAGCTAACAGGATTTACATTGCGGTTTAGCAGTAGAAGTTTGACTTGCATAATAAACTGTAAAACTACACAGAGTCATGCATTGTTCCTACGCCTCATTCGATATTCCGGGCGACATGCAACCTATCTTGCCTTAATTGAGGGAGACAGGCGCAAGGTAACCTTCATACGATTAGAAGTATGTGCGCTAAAGGGCGGCTATTTGTATTTTTACGTACCCAGTCAAGTTGTATTGTAGCCGCCAATTTGAGGTTTTAAAAAAAAGCTGACAAGGCGTGAGAATGAAGGTAGTATCCTCCGCAGGTTTTGCCTAAGACGGGTAATAAATTCTAATTAATGTCCTTAGTCCATGTCCATCCTTTTTTTAACACGCCCGGTAAACTATTAATGTTTACATTTCGCACCTTTCAATGTCCATTGGCAAATAAAAAACGAGAAACGATCTATATACATGCAAATACGTGGGGAGAGTGTCTATGCTTGATTTTACCCTGATTTTATGTACCGTATGTTTATTATCTATATCTTATAGTGAATATAACAAGAAAAATAACACAGCAATACCGCGTCTGATTAAGAGCACCTTTTGGTTACCTTGTTTAATAATGATGATTTGGCTTCTAGGTTATTATAATTGCACGTCAGTGTTATGGCGGTTAAATGTTCAAGAAAACGTAGAAATCACATGTTCGTCTCGGTCTTCTTTTGCCTTTTGTACCATAATACAAATGTTGGGTCCTGCAGAGACCAAAATAAGGAGATGGGGGTGGAGGAGACATGTTTTCTATGCTTACACTTTGGGTCCGTCTACATTATAACGCATCATGGGCTATATCTATTACAACTGCATATTCATTATTGCACCCGCTTCACCACTTTAACCCTACCTGAAGAAGATAGGTCATCAAATAAAATAAAAATATATTGAAATTTTATAAAAGTGAGAATGCAAGTAACAAAAACATTAAAGCTGTACTTTTCTAATACATGTACATGCAGGTCGTGCAGAGAAAGTGCCTGGTGTCACCTTGTATCCACGAGGCTGCTAGGATGGAAAAAGAATTTGGCTCAGCATACATGAAGTTGAATTCGTTTGTACATGTATGAACATTCAATTGATTCCAATATAAGGACACATATTTCTGTTCTTGCAAATCCTTTATATAAACCACTAGTCTCATTGATATCTCCACTGATTAAATTTTGCCAACTAGTATGGAAGTGTGACTTTTGTTGTTACAGATCATCAAGTACTGGTACGATGACGTCTTTAAGTTTAGTTTTCTATGATGGTGCAAAACCTTAGCATCATCTCAATTTGTAAGCATATGAAGTCAGCGTTTCTTAGGCGTCACTGGTGCTTTAATTAAACCGTGATTACGCACAGCGGCATCTGTAATATATGTACCGGTACATTTATATATGAAAGTATGTTGAGACACAGTCAACATAATGATAAAGTCAATTAAAGTGAGATCTTTCTACCCTTAAACAATCCTATCACATCACCGGTGGAGTAGTGCTATCATTTTCGCAGGAAAACAAAGGCCATCCGAGTAAGTCTAAAACGAAACTGACAGCAGTGCTTGACGTCTTTCAAGAGTTTTCATGATCCTCCCTCCTTAATGGGAAAAAATATTTTCTATTCAATGTAAATAAACTGGGATTTATATACATATATATGAGAAAACTGATCAGTCGTCCGCAGCAGGTTCTTTGAAATGGTCCTGCTGGTATCTATATTAAGTCCACAAAAATTCAAGCCTATAATTTTCAATCATTCATATGAGCCATTATTTGTACTATTTAAAGGTCAGAGCATTCTGCAATTCAAATAAAAAATTAATCACATATACTGCATGTTAATCACGGATTGTACATTGACCCGTCAGACTTGAACCTCTTCCAATGTATACTGCCCGGCTGGGGTTAAAAGTTTAACTCACTGCTTTAAGTGCATTCATTTCTTAAATGTAAAATAGTGAAGTTTTCTATTGATTATCTGTATTACACTAAGGTATGGTCAGGAGAAGACTTTTAGTAACGTCCAGAGATCGTAAATGTAGTGCGTCAATCAAAAATAAGAAAAAAATGAAAAACTATTTAATGAGTGAAAGTATAACAATTTCAATCAAATTAAATTTTCATGTTTATTTTTGCAACGATAATACAAACACTGTACCTTTAAAGCTTCTTTTGGTGTGTCATACCGGATGCTTGTTCAAGCTAAGTGGAGTTTTTAAAGCGTTATATGATTTTCAATGAATGTATTCTAAGAATAAAAAAAATATTCCTGACACGGTGAATCACAAGAACACTTACTGTAATAGACATAAAAGCAATTTCACCCTTGATAGGTTTTGTTAAATGCTTCTTTGACGCCTCTGTCTATTAGAATAGCGACAAGAAAACTGCCATCATCTAAGCTGATTCACTGATGATTTCCACGGAGTACGGAGGAAAACCCCTTGATTTGATATGCGCATACTTTAGTGTGAGGTTCACAAAATTTTTGAAGCACTTGTTACGTCGAGGCAACGGTTCGTAAAACACTGGTCATTATTACTGCGATAGTGGCAAAATGATTTGTATTTAGATCAAACAAGGCCACATACCGAAATTAATAGATAAATAGACAGATAAATTATGTGATTAAAACCGATTATCTAGAGCAAAATGGGTCGTATGAATTCTTCAGTCATTTGATGCAGTATTGAGACCCAGCAACACAGACAATAAAGGACATCTTTAACAAAACGCAATGCAATCTCCCGCGATCGCCGAACAAGGTCAACGTTTTATGAATGGAGAACATTTCTTTGAGGTTAGTAAATTTGAAACAAAACGCCTCGAATACTTTACGACATGATACTCGGTGACCTTTTACTTGGGTGTGACTTTGAACATTAGCCGCCTACTAAACCACTAACATATAAATTTGCTTATTCGAATAAAATGTTTCTCAATTGCTCTGTTTTACCACATGCATATAATATTCAAGCGACTTTGCTCTCGCTTGTCGCGCTGCAGTTGTCAGTATGAAGGATTTTGTGATGAATCTGATACAACGTTTTTTTACTGTTCACTGACAAGTATGGATAAATCCCGCACACGCAACTAGATGTACACATTTGGTATTGCACTTCTTAGTCGACGTAAATCAAAATGTCAGATTTTTTTAAAGTAATAATTTTCTTTCGCAAGGGGGTAGAATCCCAGGCATTTAACCCATACACT